GGATATATCATTTGCGTGTAACCTTCACTTCTGTTTGAAGTCCAGTAACGCTAGGAGTAAAATCTATTGAAAACGGCGCCAGAGTATCAAACTCTAAAATGAACCATTTCTTTTTTAACCTTTTAATGGCATGATATAGTGACACGATAATATTAACATATGTTTTCAGCATAACTCTGAATGTATTAATGATATATTAATGCATTGGGTCTTTTTAATTTTTTTTATAAAAAATAATATTAATATTTTTTGTCTGCTGTGACGGAGCATTTTCACAGTTCATATTTGCAACTGCTTCGTCACAGCGGACAAAAAAATTAAACATTATTTTTCATAAAAGAATTAAAAAGAGCAAATACATCAACATCTCATTTATACCTTCATAGTTATGCTGAAACCATGTGTAAATATTATCGTGTCACTATATCGTGCCATACTCCGGCGCCATTTTCAATAGCTTTTGTTCCCAGCGTAATTGGACTTCAAACAGAAGTGAAAGTTACCCGCAAATGATATATACATTGCATTAAGTAAGTAATTTTGTATGGTATAACGAAAGATATGAGTTAAAAAATAAATCGTGAAGTATTCTTAGTGTTTTTATGAAAAATAGCATGCTCCGTCATAGCGGACAAATATTTCGATACCAGCCTGTGATATTACAAAATGTACAAAAAAACACCAAATTGCTCCAACTTCAAATATAGAGAATATTACAGAGAGGTTACATCAATAAACCCTTGGCTGCAAGGTAGTGTACTACTATCTAACTATGACTGATCATTTTACAGTTTAATATTCAACCAAAGACAACTAAAAAAGCTGTGCTAATTATATCCTATCTTATTTTACAAAAACAATCTTTGATGGATGGTATCAATGGATTCCGAGGTGAGTTCGGAAGTTTATCAGTGATGTGGAGTATATGGAGAACTTTGTTTTGAAATAAAATAGGTTTACATGAAAATATTGATAATTCACTTTCTATCTTCATATTGGTTACTATAAATATCAGATATACTTTAAAAGGCTTTGACATATTATTTGTTCCATTATTTGTGACTAAATCCGAAATAGGAATTCTATTTTAACTTATCAATACATTAATCACATTTTAAAGGGACTTTAATCAAAGGGATGGAGGTTAATTGTTTAAAAAATTGTCAAAGGACGATTCTCGGTTTGGAGAATGAAGTTCATCAATCTAAATGAGCATTATCCCTGCTTCGGACAAATTTGATTTTTTTTACATAATATAGATTCGAATGTCTTCTTTTGAATAGTCATAATTTAATTTGGGTAATATTTCTAGATTTTTCGCAAAAAAATATTAGCGCAGTACACTGATGAACTTCTTTCCCCAAATCGAGACGTTGTATTTTATTGAATCGGTCTAATTGAGCGTTATCCCTGCTTCTGACCAATTTGTTATTTTTACATCTTGTAGATTTAAATGTCCTCTTTTGAATATTCATAGTTTAATTTGGGTAATATTTTTATATTTTTCATGAAAAAAATTATTAGCCCAGGAGACTGTTCTCCAAACCGAGAATCGTCCTTTTACAATATTTTTCTACTCTTTTTAGCTTAATTTGTTTTTCTACTCATGATTAAAGATTTACATATCAGTGATCTCCCCAGCATTAAAGCAAGTTGGCGCAGCACCCATTTGAGATTTTAAAGATAGGCTTGCACCCACCTGAAAATTCATTTGCACCGGCTTGAAAATGAGAAAAATCATGAAAAATAGGCATATTTTGTGAAAATTAGGACTTTGCACCCAGTTGAGAAAAAATCCTGTGGAGAACATTGCATATATTATCCACATATCTGTCTAAGTAGCATCATCAAGTACTAATCATGAGGGTATTATAAATGCTAGTCTTCTTATTCAAAAACTAATTTTCCTATGTAAAATCTTAGATACAGGGTGTTTCATATGTATGCCCTGCAACCCCCACATAAACTCATAATTGTGGTATTGCCATCCCATCATAATTTTTTGTTCTTTGTGGTAAGTTACATAAGATTACAAAGTTTCAAGATTCAGGAGTCCCTGAAAAAAGATACAATGTTTCAAAAAGTATGCAGGTACAGGGTCATCTGAAACGTTGCAATCTTACAATGTATGTAACTTTCCATAAGGAACAAAATGGTATATAACATGATACACTTGCAGATCTAGGGGGGGGGGCCAGGGGCCCAGCTCCGCTCCCCCCTTTGGCACGCCCGGTGATCGTGAAAATGGGACGGAGGGGGGGAGCAGGCAATTTCCGCTAGAAAATTCAACAAATCTGGTAAAATTATTTTTTCAAGACAGAGTTTACGATTGAATTGCAAATTGAATAAGCGCACGGTATGATAAAATATGTTAGGTATTCTAGGATTATTTTTCAACTGATACTCTTTTAAGATATAAGATCTATTAAAAAAGGCGCAACGCAACCAACATGCAAAAGTCAAAGTTTTTGCTATAAATCAAGCAACAATGGACTACACGACCTGTAATAAATAGAGGATATCCTATGATTTATGAGTGATATGATTTTTATCCACGAATGGATATGATATCTGCACGAGCGAGCGTAGCGAGAGAGTGCAGATATCAGTATCCATGAGTGGATTAAAAGCATATCACGAGTAAATCATAGGATGTTCTTTTTATTCCATAGTTAAAGTCATCATCAGAATCGTCGGAAATTAAGTGATTTAATTCGAATTTCCAAATCCGGCGATGTTGTCACTTAGCCTCGTTTTGAGTCTGAAGTAGCAAAAATCCATAAACCATCGCATACGACGTCGTATGTCATGGCTAAAAAACCGTATGTTATGGTTACGTGAAAATTTGTCAAAAATATCATATTTTACCACTGATTACAAAAATACCGTTTTTATTTTCACATGTTATCCCATGAATATCATGCTAACTATGGAATAAATACTTGTAAGTGATGTTTTCATAACTAAATTAATGTCATTGCTGAATTCATAAAATAAGTTTCCATACGTAAAATAAAAAATAATCGAAAATAATTAAAATGGGACGGAGGGGGGAGGGGACGGAGGGGGGGAGTAATAATTCTATAAAGTGAAACAACTTCACACGAATTCTTGTATTTGAAAAATGAACTCATTAACTTAGTAAGAAACTGGATAATATACCCCTGGAGACTGAAAAATGGGGACATTTGGAGTAAAAGGACTTAAGTCGCGAAACATCTCTAATCATGTCTTATATACATATTGCTCCCCCCCTCCGTCCCCTCCCCCACCCTCCGTCCCAAATTCATTATCTTCGATTATTTTTTATTTCACATATGGAAACTTATTTTATAAATTCAGCAATGACATTAATTTAGTTGTGATAACATCCAGGCCCGTAGCCAGGGGGGGTTCGCAGGGTTCGGGCGAACCCCCCCCTGGCCAAAAATTCTTTCAAAATCATGCAGTTTTTCACCATTTTGAGCACTTCTCAAGAGATATTGACCATATTTGGCCCTAAATTGTCAAATGTGAACCCCCCCTGGAAATTTTTGAAAACTGAACCCCCCCTTGGCAAATCCTGGCTACGGGCCTGACATCACTTACAAGTATTTATTACAGGTCGTCCAGACCATTGTTGCTTGATTTATAGCAAAAACGTTGATTTGTGCCTGTTGATGGCCTTGCGCCTTTTTTAATAGATCTCATACCTTAGATGCGTATCGTTTCAGAAAAAATCCCAGAAAACCTAACATATTCTACCATACCGTGCGCCTATCCATTAAGCAATTCAATAGTAAACTTTTACTTGAAAAAATAAATCTTCCAGATTTGTTGAATTTCCTAGCAGAAATCGCCTGCTCCCCCCCCCCTCCGTCCCATATTCACGATCACTGGGCGTGTTGGGTGGGCCTAGAAAAAAATTGGGGCCAAAAATTAACTTTTTAAGCCGATAAATGGAACTTTTAATCTGGGTCGACTTCAGGGATTTCACTAGAATTTCGCACAACAGGCTAAACAAATGAAAACAACAGGCAAAATTAATGGAAATAAAAAATTTAACATGTAAAAGTTAAAAAGTCCCTAAAAACAACAGGCGATTTTGTGAAAACAACCAGTGAAAATCGCCTGTTGTCTGCTGCTAATGAAAGTAACCCCTGCACTTTTTTTTCATACTTCAAATATGCCCCTCCCTTGTTGGTTCCTGGATCCCCCCCCCAGTGATAGGGTGGCAATACTACATGTATGAATTTATGAGGGGTGCACACATATTAACACCTTGTAGACATAATGATCCTTTTGAGTACATGTATTTCAATTGAAGATTGTAGGCAATCATCCCCTCAACTTCAAGACTCAAAACAACTGTGAATACAATTAATTAATATAATTTACTTACCTTATCAATTGTCAATGATTTTTCTAAAATTAATTCCACAGCATCCCTGGTAAAATTATTTGTTGATCTCAGTTCTGCAAGTATTGCTATGTACATGTACTGCAGCAATCTATTTGGTAATATTACATCTGTTCAGAGATAGATCTCCTCCTATTGCTTGAATTCTCCAAAACCACTACTGTCCATATTATCTCCTGTTTAGCTAAACTGTCACTGTTCCAGTATTGTGGGTAAATGCAATAAAAAATGTCTTCATTCCTCAGTATCAAAAAGTGTTGACTTTGAATAGCAGGTTAGTATAACCAGCCATATTATCAATGCAGATTGGAGTGCTGGTACTAAATTCTGAAGTACAGCAGTCTGCTATCAGGCTATAAGTGCATGAACAACAGTATAAAAATTAAACAACTCAAAGTTCACTCATCAAACCTCCTCATCCCAAGTGTTTGTCAGATTGATTCCAAATTACCCTTGCAGTAGCATAGCCTGGTTATTACTATACAGGCAGCTGCACAAAGAGGTCATATTGACCGCAGCACTTTGCTCGGTGTTGCTAATATAATACATCTTGTCATATTAGCATGAACTATCAGCAATGCATCATAAACTAGCCAAAATGTAAGTTCAAGAACATTTATTTCTCTAAGAAAGTTGTTACTTGTTATAACCATGAAGAATCTTTGCTGAATTTTCTTGGAATGCTGAGTATGGCTTGCCAATTCAATTATTTTTCTCATGAACAGAATACTAAGTACAGTGTAAATTGTAATAACTACTAAAGTCATATAATTACCATCAAACATTAACCGAACAATGTCATATCTCAAGGCTCATCTCAAATTAGGATGAACAATAACTTTCCACATTATAACATTGTCATTGTCCAAACATTTTTTATACATATTTCCAACAATATTATTTCTTCCATTGTCTTTCGGGATGATAAGTTTCAGTGTGATAATATTTGGATCCTGTGTGACAGATCCTACACAGACAACACTCTGGCTACCCTCCCTTATATGGAGCGAACCTTCATTGCTCTTCCCCCATTTTAACGCAGCCTGGCTCTCGCTAAAGGTGATCTTCATTCGTAACCCACTGTCACTGGTCAATTGTGGGTAGATTTTCATTACACCCTGAAAATACAATCAATATTTGTGAAGAGTACACAATCCAGGCCTGTAGCCAGGGGGGGGGGGGGTTCGATGGGTTCGAGCACCCCCCTGGCAAAAAATTCTTTCAAAATCATGCAGTTTTTCATCATTTTGAGCACTTTTTAAGAAATTTTGGCCATACATGTATTTGGACCACAATTGTCAAAAGTGAACCCCCCTGGAATTTTTCAAAAAGTGAACCCCCCCTTGGCAAATCCTGGCTACGGGCCTGCAATCTCAATAGCTTAACACTGATCTCCAACAAGGACTCTAAGTAAGAATTAAGTTTTCACAGAATATCTAAAAGGTCAGATGGCCTTGGCCCATATAAATCCAATCAAAGTACCACTGCAGGCCCGTGGCCAGGGGGGGGGGGGGGTTCGATGGGTTCGAGAGAAGTCCCTCCCCCTGGCCAAAAAATCTTTCAAAATCATGCATTTTTTCACCATTCTGAGCACTTTTTAAGTGATTTTGGCCATTATTGGACCAAAATTGTCACAAGTGAACCCCCCTGGAATTTTTCAAAAAGTGAACCCCCCTTGGCAAATCCTGGCTATGGGGCTGCACTGTATCATACAACAAACAAACCTTGCTTATAGGGTCCGAGGTTCTTTTCCGTGCTTTATACAAATGCCTTCCACGAGCATCAACAAAGGGTATACACACACAGAGCATCTCTAGATGAATCACGATATTTCTCTTCAGAGGCAATGGAACAAATATCTTGGTAAGAGCAGGTTCAGTTGTTTCATCTGTTTGCTCAGATGCTTGATCATAAGGTTTAGGTATGGAGTCAACTACTGATTTGGTGGCTGAATCACCCTTTGCTTCATCTTGGATTGCAGAAGTGAACATGGGGTTTTTCTCTGTTGATTTGTGTGTTGTAAAGTCATTGATATCTTTGGCAAGAATAGCGTCTCCAGTTCCACCTTCCCATGGTACATCTGGATTGATGTTATTGACTGCATTGGATGTTACCATCGCCATAGTAAGGTATTGTAGGGACCACTACAAAAAATTCTATGGATTAGATTTAGTTTCATATATTATAAACCAACAGGGTCTCGATATAGGGTACAGACAGAATTTGGGGATTTTATTTTGATGTTCTTGGACTTAGAATTTTTTCTGGAATATTCGTTGTCACCTTGGCTTAAACAATTTTTAAAAACAATCATCTATAAATCTACAAAAAAGGCCAGAAAAAACATAAAAATAAATTTCTAACTGCTAGAGCTAAACATATATCAAGATTCATAGGATTGGCCTATAATAATGAAAAATTTACTTACCAAAGTTGGAAGTAGATTTATTTGTTGTAGATGTCTAGATTTAGGTTCAAGGACAATCTGAATCTGTCAATTTTTGCTTTTTTTAAAAATGGCGCCACTCAACTTTGAAACAAGTCGTGCGATGGTTTCAGAAATATTTCTCGATCTATGTAAATCCGTCATATATACTGAAAATATTAATGTATATAGCCTAGCCGGCTTGACAGTTAAGAAACGCTCATTACACAAAAGATTCACGGATATTTATTCAGGGAAATCGTATGAAAAAGCGATGTTGTAAATTAGACAACAGTGCTTTCATGATAGCAGCTCTTCAAAAAAGAGGGAATAAAATTTGGTTCGAAAAAAGCAAAATTCCACAAATCTCCACATTTCGACGTTTTACTGTAAATCGAGAAGATGGATATGACTCAGAGCAGTGTCAGTTACATATATGATAGCGACGATGACAATGTTTTTGGTTACAAGTCTCTCGGGAGACACAGAAGGACAAGTAAAGAAGATTGCACACAATCACAATTTTCTCAAAGTCAGACTCAGAATCAGACTCATCCATCCCTGTCATCCCTGTCAATCAAACAGAAGAAGAGCGATAAACAGAGTAGCAAAAGGAACAGCCAAAAGCCTAGTCAATCACAGTCAAAATCCAAAAGAAAAAAGGCATCAAATGCATTAGCAAGAGACCCAACATTTGCTAAACCAAAAGTCGAAACATCAGACAATGATATCTGCATGAAGAAATCCAAAAGTAGTTCTTCATTAAAGAAACAAAAGGCCAAGGAAAAGACTCCAAAAAGAATGCCCCGTAAAGTTCATGAAGGATTTTGTCCGCTTTGTCAAATGCCATTCAAAATTCTAACCATTGAATCACCAAATTGGCATTTGACTGAGTGTTTGCAGAAACAGATAAAAGATAATGGTATGGATAATATTCTCAGTACCTAATCTGCATTAACCATGAATGTCTAGCTATCTAACCCCATAAATGTGGGTTCGGTTTGCATTTTTTAATTCTTGACTTTGATAAGGCAAACCTCACCCACAGCTGAAACCTATTCCAAATTTGTAGTTGGATACCTTGATGAATTGAAGATGAAAATCTATGTCAGCAGTTTCGTTACCTATTCTTGTGTTTTCTTTGACAAAACACTTTTATCAATGTGATAAGAGATTGATTACTGGGTCTTGAAATTTTTCCTATCATCCACCATTTTGTTTTTGTTGGAAACCTCAATGAGTTGAAGATGAAAATCAGGTTATATATCAGCATTTTCCTTACCAATTCTCTTGTTTTCTTTTCCCAAATCCAATGTAATAGAGTGATTGATTACTGGAAACAATGCTTCATATCGGCAATTATTCAGCATTTATATCTAGGTCTTGAAATTGTCCACCATTTTGTCCAACTACAAGATTTAGAATAGCTAACATTTATGGGAGAGTTTTGCTATCACAAAATGTCAAAAATAAGAAAAAGGCAAATCACCGACCCCTACATTGATGGGGATAGTTATCTAATGCCAAGACCATCTCTTCTTGCTGAATGTAGACATGGCTTAGTTCCAGCTTGGCATCTTTTCTAGTCTGTTATATTAGAAACATACATGTACATGTATTGTGCTTGTCCTGAGGATGGGCTTTCTCTTGAAAGCCCATGTCTTAGAGTGAAAAAAATGTTTTCTTGAACATCTGATCTTATGGAACTCATACTAACAAACTAAAGATCTTTGTTTCTGTACATACCTCAATAGGTATTTTCAAAATGTCTTGGCAATACATACTGTATAAGTATGGGTCTAGTCAGATCAGTCAGATGTACATGGCCACCACAAAGGAGACTTTTATATCTGGCCCACAACATAGAGTGCAAACATATGAATCGCATATGAAATGAAGGATATGACCATGGGCCTCTCGATTGATCTCGATCTCATAATGCCAATGGGATGGGTTTCTTTTGACAGTTATCCAGATCGTAGATTATAACATATAATGAATCACATAAAATGATGTAAAATATTTAGTGTGATTGGCTGGATTCGATAGCATGAGATGAGATACATGTGTCGATTCATAAGGACTGCCCCTATATTTTAATTGACAAATCAGAGGTGTGAGTGTATTTGACATTTGGCATATATTTTAAAACAGTGTTTATTTTTTTAAATGGGGTTTAATGAAATTTTGAAGTCCATCATTTTGGATAAAATAAAGTTTATTTACTTAACACGATTACTGTCAATGGACCATAAGGAATTTTAAAATGTGTAATTTTTCTTGTTGTATTTCTAGAATGCCCCAATGGCCTGGAATGTGACTGTACAATAGAGTCTCACTATCACAAATTCTCACACACTCTACTGGCGTCACAAAGAGCAGGTTTAACTCGGAAGAGCTCATCCCGGAAATTGGAATTTAAAAGTAGTATGGTTGAAGCTAATAACGAACATATTACTCCTGATTTAGTCCAAAAGCATGTTTCCGCAGATGTTTGTGTCAAGGAAGAAACACTTGATGATATTAACGAATGTGCTATGGGGAACTCAGTATTTGCTACGATTGATTTAAACACTGTTGTTGACCCTGTTCAACCCTCATTAAAGACTGTACCCTCTGCACCAATACCTTCACAAATTAAGGATATTGTACACAAATCAGATTTTCCAAGGTCATTGAACGCTAACCATATTAATGAACCACTACTGCAAGATAGTGAACAAACTCTACTAAATGATGATACTGACATGGAAAGTGATAATGATGTACCCCAAACCTCTGCAGTTAGTCCATACACTAGTCTTAAAAAGGAAAATACCGTAAGGGAGGAAACATTTACAGTTGGTCAACAGAAACCTGCTAGAGTTAAAGAATACATAGATTTAGAACATGACTCCTCAGAGAGTGAAGATGATATTTTTGATAACTTACTCAACCAGGCTACTCCTAGTCAGTTTAAAAAATCCCAGGACAAATTAGAAATTGATGAAAATCGTAACAAGGTTGAAGCATGGCTTGGTAGCATAAGTACAACAAACACTAAAGATCTGTCAGAGCTACTGTCAAATATCTCTGATAGTGATGAAGCTGAAAGTGATAAAGTGGACAATGCACCTGTAAAATCAACCAAAGACAATCAAGAACATTCAACACAGCCTTTTAAGAGCAGTACTGTTACAAATGATCTGATTGAGTCAATCCCAAATAAACAGTCTAACATGGAAACCAGTTCATACTTCTACTCAACAGTTGATGCAATCTCTAAACCATTCACTGCTCTTAAGTCTGCAATGAAAGCTAAACAGTCTTCAATCATGGGTTTCTTTGGTGCACCTGATAACAAAAATGCAGCGTCAGCTGTTGTTGAACATAGACACCCAAAGAACAACATTCAACCACAACGCAAGAATGAAGTACAACCCAAGAAAATGGCACAACCTAAAAATGTGGTACAACATAAGAAAACTGCACAGGCCACAGAAGTAAAATCAAATTCCAAAAACAATGGATGGAATAGACAATGTCCGTTTTACAAGAAGATTCCAGGTTTGCCCAATATTATTTAGCAGTCCATGTTCCTTCCTGTGAAATCATAATTTTTTCATTTTTGGTCTAGCCATTTGGGCCTCACTTTCAACAATTGGCCTGATATTTGAGGAAAGTATTTGAAATTTTCCTTTGTTTGTACCCCCTCTGACCTTTTTTAAGTGCCCTCCAAAATTCTAACTATGGGCGTGTACAATATAATAGTACTACAACATGCATTAGCCTAACTGTGGAAAACTTGTTTAATTATTCTGAAAGAATAATTTCTTATTAAATCATTATTTTTAGTTTTAATCAATCAATCAAAATCAATTTATATATTGTGCATGCTGCCCTTCTACAGTACAAGTATAGCCCTTGGGTTTATTTAATTATTACATGCCCATAAAAATTAATTTTATGTTAATCCAGTTGTGTACCTTGATAGACATACATGTTATCATAATAATATATTTCCAGGTACTCCATTCACTGTAGATGCATTCAGATATGGAGTTGTAGCTGACTGCAAGGCTTACTTCCTCACCCATTTCCATTATGATCATTACGGTGGACTCACTAAGAAGTTCGCACAGCCAATATATTGTAGTAATGTAAGTACAGTAAAACCAGCCTAAGTGGAACACCTTTGGTACCTATAAAAAGTGTTACACTTGGGAGGTGCTCCACTTAAAGAGGTTCATTTAACATTAAGTCAGTTTGTCGTGGGACTCTGAAAAGTGTTCCACTAACAGAGGTGTTCCACTTTTACAGGTGTTCTACTTTATAGGTTTAGTACCACTGTAGTACTAAGTCTAATACATTGCACTCAATGAGTTTGATTTTGCATCTGTTTGAACCTGATGAATTGGTAAAAATCTGTTCTCCACCAAATTCTGCACAATGTGATCATCAAGCTCATCACAATCCATTGGGAATAAAGAACTAGGTTTAAATATGTGGGTCTTATACAAAAAATGGGCTTGAATATGTATTTTCTAAATATTTTGTAAAAAGTGAACATGCAGTTTTGTAGGGGGAGGGAGGGATTCAAAAGTCACAAAGAGATTTCAATGATTTGTATCTTTACAGGTGACAGCCAATCTCATTGAACAAAAGCTGAAAGTGGAGCCACATTATGTCCACAGGTTGCCAATGAATGAGCCTTGTCAGATACATGGTGTCCAAGTCACTCTGTTAGAGGCAAACCAGTGAGTACATATTGATATTATGTTCAACATCGTTAAATCGATTTGACAGAGTACTTTATTTCTGAAGTTATATACAGACCTTCAAAAGCCCTTTAACTATGTAATGATTTGGGATACGTCAGCATCCGCCAGTCTGCCAGTCAGCAAATCATTATACGTACTTACATATTTTCATCCAGTTGGTGACATAATGTCTTGTTTCAAAAGGGAATCATGTACTGTAGATTTTGAGTAAAGAGACAATTGAAAAAAATCTTTGCAAAGTTCATGTACTTTTATTTGAGACTAAAGGGTAATGATTCATGATACCTACAATATGTTTCACTTATTATCCCATCGAACGAAGTTCGGAGGGATATAGGGAACGCCTCCGTCCGTCCGTCCGTCCGTCCGTCCGTACGTACGTCCGTCCGTCCGTCCGTCCGTCCGGGCAATAACTCAAATACCGTTGGCCCGATTTTGTTCATATTTTGTACACATATACCCTATGGGGGTAGAAGTTCTGCTCGAAAGCCAATTTTCAAAATGGCCGCTCATTTCAAAATGGCGGCCATTTTAGTGCCGATTTTACAGTAATTTAGGTGTTATATGTAAAACTGTAATAGCAATATGTTTTAAATGTAAAAAAATTATAAAGGACATTAATAATGCTACAAATGTAGATATTAAAGAAGCACATGGCAGCCATCTTGAAAAATGGCGGCCTTTACTCGTCATTTTACGATTTTTGCTATAACTCAAAAAATAGTAGAGCGATTTTGTTCATATTTGGTATGTGAATACTATAAGCATTGCACACTGTCTAAAAACACTTTTGGTAGAAGGCGGCCATTTTTCAAAATGGCCGCCATTTTAACGTATTTTACTATAACTCGAAAAGTAGTGGAGCGATTTTGTTTATATTTGGTATGTGAATACTATAAGCATGGCACACTGTCCTATGACACTTTTGGTAGAAGGCGGCCATTTTGAAAAAAAAAATTGAAAAATGGCCGCCATTTTAACGTATTTTACTATAACTCGAAAAGTAGTGGAGCGATTTTGTTTATATTTGGTATGTGAATACTATAATCATGGCACACTGTCCTATGACACTTTTGGTAGAAAATTTTTTTCAAAATGGCCGCCGATTTTAATAATTTTACTATAACTCGAAAAGTAGTGGAGTGATTTTGTTCATATTTGGTATGTGAATACTATAAGCATGGCACACTGTCTATTTCTAATGACACTTTGGTAGACGGTGGCCATTTTAACGTATTTTACTATAACTCGAAAAGTAGTGGAGCGATTTTGTTCATATTTGATATGTGAATACTTTAAGCATGGCACATTGTCTAATAAAACTTTGGGGAGTAGTCGGCCATTTTGAAAAATGGCCACCATTTTTATGTGTGTAATTTTACAAGTATGTGTGCGATTTTTCAAAAATTTTAGAGGTGGCTACTTAAAAGCATATTATTTCTTCTGATGACAACTTGGCTAGTGAGCAACCATTTTGAAAATGGTGGCCTTTCTGGTGTGTTGTTTTATGATATTTGCTATTTGTTTGTAAAAATGCCAGCCATTTCTGTTCGATGGGATTCGCTACGCTTTGGCGTTGCCGTTGTTCTGGTTTCAGTTGTCCGGGTGCTGTTCTTATTCTCTTTGAGACATCTTCAGGACAAACATACCTTCACACAGGAGACTTCCGTGCCAACCCAGATATGGAGAATTACCCACAGTTGATTAACAAGCGCATTGACAAGCTCTATCTGGACACCACGTAAGTCAATATATTTCCATCAGATGCTTCTTATTTGTGTTTATCCCATTTTGATTTTTCAACTTTGAAATATATTGAGACATGATTAAAAAAATGATCACAATCAGGGGGCCATTAACAGAAACTTCATAAAGTTAAGAATTCGTAAAGTCCATTGTTCTGTAACTGTGACGTCATTATATCCATGGTTACAGCAAATGATTTACAAATTCGTAACTTTATGAAGTTTCTGTTAATGACCCCCAGACTAACAATTGCTTATTCTAAAATTCCAAACTTAAGTATATAAAACAAGGCATTAACATGCAAAATGTCACCACTTGCCATTTGTTAAAGACACCAAATGTCAAACACTATCCTAAAAAAAATTGAAGACTATAACAATACTTGTGGTGCTGACATAAAAAAGAGAAGCTAGAAAGTCCAAGACAGCTTGAGTTAGAGTAAAGTCTCAGTTCATCAGTTCAATAGAAGAACTTATTGTATTGTTACTCTAAATATTTCCACTTTAGGTACTGTGATCCTACATACAGTTTCCCTCCCCAGAAGGATATAATACGCTTGGCTGCTACTATAGCTGAGAGATGTCATTATGAAGACCCCAATACATTATTTGTATGTGGGACTTACACCATTGGAAAAGAGCGTATTTTTACAGGTACATATGTATTTCAAAATATAATGAATAGAAAGTGCAAGGTGTAATTACATGTGTGGTCAGTTTAGTCTGAGGTATGAAAGTCAGGCCCGTAGCTGGGAGGGTTTGGGGGTGAACCCAGTCTGACCAAAAATTCTTTTAAAAACATGCAGTTTTTTGGTCCAAACTAACTCCTTCTGGGACTTTTTGAAAAGTGAACCCCCCTTGGCAAAAGCTGGCTATGGGCCTGAAAGTACACTCATAAAGTTTGATTTGTAGTTTGCTTTATGTGAATTCTTTATTGATTATGGACTCTCTTGATTACATAAAGCATTCAATCAAATACTGGTTGTACAACTTTAGTGTTTCTTTAGTTATAATTATTTTAATTGACATGTCTCCCTATGGTATTGATCAAATGCATGTCATGCCTCAGATGATGAGAAACACATAGACATATTTGACCAATTTTTGGTTTGATTTTAAAAATGAAAATTCTGCATTGAACAATCTTAGGGAGAACATCTAGCATGTATCCATCAATCAAATTGAATATTCTGATTTCAGCCATTGCCCAATCACTTGGAAGCAAAGTATGTGTCACACGAGAGAAGAAAACCATCTTAGACTGTTTAGATGATGCTCAGCTGAAATCCCTCATCACTTTACAGTTCTCAGAGGCTAAAGTCCATGTGATACCTATGAAACAACTCAACTTCAGGGTATTTAAATGATAATCACTAAATAAGGTCATATTATAGTATAAGTTGGCAGTTCTTGTACGAAACCCATGTGGACCTTAAAAATGAACTCATCAGGTTATTGTGGTACATTGATAATGCAGATCCTCACATTGTATTTGAAGACATATATTTGCTATATAGGCCTCCTAAATTAATGATACATGTACTTATAAATGGCTCAAGAGACATAAATGAAATATGTATACGTCTGATGAACTGCATTTAGTAGAGGTGTAAGAGAACTAAAAAGAATTGAATGAATTTTGTTCCATGCTCCAATCCAAGAAACTAACGAATTAGGCAGGTTGGAACATAATAGGTTTTATAACATACCTATGATGATGTACAGTGCAAAGTGTACACAAGACAGCGGGCCAATATAAGTTTTGAAAAGCCCGCGCCCGCTAACTTTCTGATTGGTCAAGGCGCTGACGTCATAACCAATCAATCGAAGATAAAACTGCGCGAGCAATTTTTCTAAACTCATTTCAATCATTTTCAAACCATTTGTTTGTCAATTCTATAAGAAAACGGTAATCTCTGACCGGTCTACATCATCATAGGTATGTTATAAATCGTTTATGTCACTATCGTGGCACATATGCCCTCGGTTCTCAGAGATCAATGTCCCTCCCAAGGTCGGGCCATATATCACTGAGACCTCGGGCATATATGCCACGATAGTGACATAACCTCTAAATCTGTGACACCTCTAGTATAAAGGTGAGGGAGTGAAGCATTAATTATTAAACTTAAATGGTAACAATTTCACTTCATTACTTTCAGGGCTTGAGTGATCACCTGTCCAAGTTCAAGAATAAGTTCAGTAGACTTGTTGCATTTGAACCAACAGGCTGGACACATGGGGTAAAGTTCTCTATGGACAATCCACAACCTAAGTTGAATAGAGATAATATTATTTTGTATGGTAAGTCAGTTGAAGAAAGTTTGAATGTATATACTGATATAAGGCATTTTAAATTATCAATCATAATGATACACTTGTACTATTATTGGCTATTAGGTGAAGTCCATATTTGGTGAATCATGTTAAGTAAACAAAGAGGAATAATAGTAATTGAGATATATTTTTGAATGTCTTTACTAAACAGGGTTCCTACACACCTGTGTCAGGGAATAAATATCAGAGCTAGTAAATTCGGTAAAATGACATGTTTTTAAAGTTGAATCATATTGAAATTCATTGAGCCCAAATGATTTGGTTTCAGGACTGCCATATAGTGAACATAGCAGCTACACAGAAATGAAACGATTTGTGACATACATTCGACCTACTTCAATTCTACCAACTGTGAACAATGGGAATCCAGCCAAGAGAAAGTCAATGGAAAAGATGTTCGAGTCTTGGTTATCTGAGGAATCAAGCACTGCCAAGCAAACAACAATAGACTTACAACAGAAGAATATATCAACTTTCTTTTCTAAAAAGTGATGTGATCTGACCGTGTAATATCTCCATGATATTGTTAGTGATATGATTTTTATCCGCAAGATGATATTATTATCTTGCCGTTTGAGACATTACAAGAATACACTATGCAAGAGATTTCCTTCAAGAGATATTGTGAAAATCCTTCATGGAACTATGGAATCAATTATAAGAACTGAAAGTTAAATATTATGCATTACTGCTTTTGATACTATATTTTACAAGAATGGGTGCCAATCATCATCATGTGCATGAAGTGTTCTTAACCATTCAATTTAAGAGAATTGACACTTGGATCATCATGATAAAGTAAAACACATTATAACAGTCTGACAGTTCATTTACATCCTCCGGGCGCAGGGCTCCAAAATCCGAAATATCTTCTTTCTTTTTCCCAGAAAGGGAAGAAGGAGATACAGATTATGGACACCTGCTTAGGAGGATGGTTTATCTTTTACTGTGCACAATTACATGTATTAAAGGATTTAGTCCCAGGGCTCAATGATATTAAGATGATTTTGAGAACACGGTTCTTATATGAGACTTATAATGATGATTACAGTCCAGATTTAAAGGCTAGTATACAAGAAACGAGTGCGTTGAATCACCCACAATTCATTGAGCCATGTGCTTAACTTCTTTTCACACCTCATAGAAGATTTGAATAATTTCATTAAAAAGAATGAAATTCAACCAGAAATATTTCTGCAAGGTTTTTTCACATGAAGTCTTCTTTTACTTACCGTTTGTCGTAAAATAAAGAATGTATATCGTGTTCTGATTGGCCAGAATATGTCATATCATGTCTAGTTTACGTGAAAATCTTTATGAAGCATGAACACTAGTCATAGTCCATTTATGTTGCATGAAAAACATAGTTCTATATGCATGAAAAAAATACAGGGAGGTACAAAAAAGTGAATCTTGCAATAAGCTATATCTCAATTATTACCCACACTAATGCATGTTTTAGAGGAAGGTCTAAAGTTTTTGCCCATTAGCCCATTAATTCCAGTAATAACTTACATATAGCATGTTACAAGGACTCATTTTTGGAGCACCCTGTAGATCTGTATGCATGAAAATTATATTTATTAGTATTAGAGAAATAATTATGTTTTATCATTATTTAAATATAGATAAACTCTTATAACAAATAAAAAAGTGTATTGCTGTATATTTATAAAGTTAATCTTGATATTTCATAGTATTCCATATCCTCTAGCCTCTTGGCACATAATATGCTTGCATATTGGTATCATTAAACTTTTCTGAGAAGACACATTGATATGGCATGCAACTACATTTGGCATCATCTGATCATTTCAACATTCTTTTTCAATGAATTTTTTAATGACAATGCAAAATTGGTTTGATGATTTGTATGCAGGGATTTGTATGGCCAAAGTGATCGGTAAAAGGAAGGTCTGTAGTAGCAAAACCTCTCTTAAAAGCCCATGGTCAAATTAATGAAGATCTTTAAGCTCTTGAATAGCTCCCATAAATGTGAGAATGATGGTTCTACTTGATAAATTCCATATCCTATCACATTCAGGTAGATTTGAAATGAGAAAATATATTACTGAATATAGTCTTAACAACTTATATAATATATAGTAGCCAGTAGGGGCCTCCAGGCTATAGACAGCTTTTGCTCAGGGAGTTCCCAGTTTGCAATAAATTCCAGGAGGGTTCACATATGACAACTTAGGCCCAAAATCACTTGAAAAGTGCCCAAAAATTGCATACTGGAAGAGATTCTTGTTGTGACTTTTAACAGATGAGAGCTACCATGGATTCCACAAAGAAGCTACCTGTACTGAATTCTAACTTTTAACCCGGGGATAATCAATACTTCGTTCGGTGCATTTCTCATGACACACCAAAAAAGAAAAATGGACCAAGTTCAAGCTCGAGTGCAAAGTGCCATCACTGAAGCGGTGAATACGCTTGATAAGGAGCATTTGAGAAAAATGCAGGTATAAATCATTAATTGGAGTTTATAGAGATCTGTATGAAGCCATAACAAAAGTATTTCAACTCTTATACACTTTGGTTTTGAACGATACATTTTCATCAGCATGTGAAAATACCCTATTATCGCCCACAAAATTTCATTTTCTGATAGAAATCTTCGTACGAACGGCCTTCGCTACGTTTGCATCTTCGATAATATAGCAGGTACCATATTGGCAACTGTGTATACACCGCTCATCATCTTTGACCTGCTGAATGTTCATTGGTGTGCAGCTCGGTAGTACAGCGCAGTAAATTTCACGTTTTCTCCAATCAGATCTAAAAATAACCAATCAATAACCAATCAAAAACATTTTGTTCATTTTATTAACACTTTGTTATTGATTGAGGTCCTTAGCCAACTTCCTCATCTGATTCGCTTCCAAGGTAATTTCATACAATAATGATGCTGTCTTGATCGACTGGGTCTCGTGTCATCCAGGCACATTCTTGAGAGCTTTCTTTGCAGGATAGTTTACTGTATGTTGATCTTCACAGACATTTTTCAGGAGTGTAGCCAGCAATCGTGAAGGGGGGTGGTGCGGTTTTTGGGATTGCATCAGTGTAAGCAAAGCGAGCCCCAAAAAAGGGGTTACAGTTCAAATCTGAATATAGATTTTGACCTTCACAATGACATTTTCAAGGTCTGAAAAGATTTGACCTTCTTGAGGTCAAAAAGGTCTTTTTTCAACTTTGCTTGCTTCAAATTGACCAATTTTTTTCAAACCATCTATCATCTTCAAGTTCCCAGAAGTTCAAATCCTTCTCAGGGTCAAAAATTTGTTTCAAATTGACCATTTTTGTCAAAAGTCTGACATAAGTTTGAACAAATAATATTGTGAGCAACTAGGGGGTGACATTTTGTCATGTTAATGCCTTGTTTGTTTATGGTTTACAAAATCGCTTTTTTTCTTTTTTGTGGGGGTGGGGTAGGGTTGCGATCGCACCCCAGGCCCGTAGCCAGGGGGGGTTCGGGGGGTTCGGGCGAACCCCCCCCTGGCCAAAATTTCTTTCAAAATCATGCAGTTTTTCACCATTCTGACTAATTTTTGAGTGATTTTTGGCCATATTTGCCAAAGTGAACACCCCCTAGAATTTTTTAGAAAAACGAACCCCCCCTTGGAAAATTCTGGCTACGGGCCTGCACCCCCCCCCCCCCTTCCTGGCTATGCCCATGTCATTGTAGTACCAGTACTTTGAGTCTGTATGCTATATTTCAGGATCCTTATGGAGCCAAGCTGTATCAGACGATGACCTGTCACAAATACAGACAGAGATGGCTTGTCATCTGTAAGATAAGCAGCAACTGGGTCAAAATTTAGTTTGTCCTGCTTTCTAGTGTAGAATGTTGGGGCCTATGTGTGTTCGGTAAAGCACTTGCTAGTTGTTGCTTTTTCTGGTAGCTTGTACAGTCATCAAACAAAGTTAGGACCATCAGCTCAGGAAACAAATACCATAGATTGTGGGGGATGCTACCTAATGCTACATTGTCAATGATTGGCTGATATGCTCTGTACTCTTGCAACCAAAATGCAAGGTCGTGGCTAGGACACAAGTTTAGAGAGGGTCACTGAGGAACTAGTGGCCATTAAGATTCATCACAAATCCCACTAGGCGAGTGATTCTCAGCTTCACCTGTTGAGAATATTGTCGTAATCTTACAGAATCTGGGCACCTTGTGTGATTCAAGAGCATTATTTAACTTTTAATTAGGGAACCTTCTCTTTGCTTTACCATACTATCTTTTTGGAGAGCATTCTCTTTCTTTGCCACGTTATCTTACCTGATTTAGTCACCAGGTGGTAAAACTAGGAATTTTCTTCTGACATCTAGGTAATTCTACTATATGTTTTTCTAGGCTGACATGTACAAGTGCAGTGCAGCATGTTGTGAGAAACCCTACTATAGCATGGACCAAGTGCAGAACTGTGTAGAGAAGTGCTCTGGTCCTATCAACCAGGGCCAGAGATTCATGCAAACAGAGATGCAGAATTACCAGGTAAGAATTTTACTACTAATACTCCATGTTATATGATTATATATATTTTTACCTGAAATTAATACATGTATCTTGCAATAGTGGGAGTAGAAAGAATGTAGAAATTGAGTGGGCAATAATAAGTATATGTTGACTGGAACTTTTTGGGAATGGTACATTTGAAAGAAAATTATGTTTTGGGAAATTGATCTGGTTTCACCCTTATTTGATATGAACTAAGCAATCAAGGTCTTTTAAAACAGAGTATCTAACTTTTCATGATCTGCCTGAATTCTAACTGCTGTACTTCTACTAAAGGGGCAACAAGGCCTGTGGAGAGAAAATTCAAAACTTTTTACTTTTTCTGAGCTATCAGGGCAACATTTGGCTTAACATCTTCTTTGACATACCTATTTTCTTAAAATGTATGGATAAACTATCAATTTCAGCATTAAGAAGTGTAAATGGCCTTCAGGACTGCCAATAGATGGCATTTAATTCAGCGGGTTTAATAGCATACTTTAACATGTAAAAGTTGCTCCAAAAATCTCCCAAAATAGATTTTATTGAAGATATCCAAAACCTCATGATTTTGAATCTTAAAACATGTTTGTAAATAATAATGAAGGAAAATATGATATTTATTTGATATGTGTAGTGAATTTAAAGTTTTAAAACAGCAATATTTACACACAAACCAATGGGCCAGATGTGAAGAACAACTTAGTAGTTAACTGCCATCTATACGAGTCCTGGCTCCCATTCAGTTCAAAACTTCTTTAGAGGGAGTCCCACTTCTATAGATTTTTAAGATTCACCATGTTTCAAGAAGAATATCCGCTGAAATAATGTTCATCCAAGTTGTTTCTTTGGAAATAATAAAAATATATGTTTGTCTTGAAGAAATAACCAAACTTAAATATATTTTGACAATGGTCCATGTTTTGACAATGGTCCATGATCGTTGAATGGCCCCTCTGCACTCATTGCAAAGTTCGCCAAATTAAGTCGCCACCAAATTCCACAGCAATTTTTAGTAATATTTAAATTAGTACCATTAGTACATTGTGATATAAATATTGCAAGTCCGTCTAACAAAGTATCCGCTAAATGTTAAAAAAACCAAATCTGCCAAAATAAGTAGCGCCAAATTAAGTAGAAGTACAGTACTTGCTACATATTTACTGGGTGTAAGGTAATTTTCCTGTTCTCAGCTCCCACCTCCTTAAATGCCACGATATCATGGAGAACAGGGACTTCCTCAAATAGCCGTAGAATAAGAAATCCTTTATTTCAGGACCGTTTGCAAAGATGCGCCCTTGATTGCCAAGATACTATACGTGATAAGGTGGGCCCAAATACAAGTGAGGCTGAAGTTGCAAAACACAAGAAGGACTTAGAGAAATGTGTCGTTAAATGTGCTGATACACATATAGGAGCCATACCATCTATGTTGACACGTATGAGAGATACTCTGAAAAAATTGGAATCTGCCAATGCAAGCTGAATGTTTGGGATATTTAGGAAATTCTAGCGTAGGAAATTAATAAGAGTGATTGAGTGAGTGGTGATTTTAGCTGGAACTCTGACTTTATTGGATATTTTCACCCTGATTCAATTGTAACATATTGCATTATCACTAGTTATTAAGAGAATATCATCTTAGATATCCAATTTAAAGAATCCCATCATTTTGTGTTCTAATGATGGAAATTGTTTATAGAATGAATAATAGATGGTGTGCATGGTAGATCATAAAAAATGTATCCAAATGGCTGAATAGATAAATTGAATATAAACTACATACTGTTTTATGTCTCGAATATTTGAAGGTAACATTCATAATAAAAAACAACCTTGAATCATGTTATCACCTAAAAATCTGGAAAAGCCCTTTACAAAAAAAAACTTCGGTACTATGCATGCATCCCTTTTGATTCGGGGCAAGAGATTTGGTTGTAAAGATGTGATTATGGTCGAAATGACTGTTTGTTTCTGGTTTCAACTTATACTCTCTTCATCACAGACTATAGTCTCTAGTATCTCCATTATCATGACAAAAGGAAAACCTGAAATAAACTTCTAAATAGTTTATGATTATTTGCTTTACACATATGAACTTAACAATAATTTTACTTCGAGGTGAAGGTCACTCTGATGTATCATGATCTCACCAGCTGATATGCACTTGAACACTGCAAATGTGACCAAACCGCAAATTAATGAAAAGTAGTTTTACTTTGTGTATGTACCTATTTAGAAATCCTTGCTTTGTGTGGTTTGGAAATGGATTACTGAGATTTGTAAAGAATATTGTTTTGTATCTTTGATCAGTCTACTTGATTGAAAATATTCTGAATAATTTTGCTGAAATGAATATCTTGCTGTTATCAATATGAGATATTCTAGTACATGTCAGGCTTGTAGCAAATTTGGCCAAGGTGGGGTTCACTTTTCAAAAAATTTCAGGAGGAGTTTACATTTGACAACTTTGGCCTTAGATCACTTGAAAATGCTCAGAATGGTGAAAAACTGCATGATTTTGAAATACATGTAGTTTGCTCGACCCCCCTCCCCCTCCCTCTGGCTACAGGCATGCATGATATATAAGTGCTGCAGATTGCAGATATGTGTTGGTGTTTGTGACCTGAGAAATCGATCATAATCTGAGAAACATATGTGCCATTTAATTAGCAAGATTATAGAATTGTACTAAACTTCTTTTGAATTAAATACAATACAAGTAATTCATACATTGAGATTTCTGCATTTAGTAAATAGCCATTTATGAGATCTTTAAAAGCCACAGTGGTGCAGTAAAATATTATACAGTTATTTGCATTATAGGCTTTGTGTATGTTTCAGATTCCTTTCAATGCACTGGTTTGAAAGAAAAATATTTAAGTGCATGTTTTTTCAAATTTAGAATTGGAGAGAGTCAAATGAAAGTCAAAAGAAAAGACAAAAAATACATGTAAAAACAGAGAACACGTGTAAGTAGAAATATACCATTTCGATTTTGGGGCCAACTTAGAATCTCAAAAAAGTAAATGAAAGTTACATCTTTCTAAAATATCATTTTTATCAATTAAGGTTATTGGTATTATAATCTTATCTATCATTAATTTTAAGATTTTACTGAAAATATTGTTTTTGTATTGTAAGTGTGGATTTATATTATTTTAACGAAAACAAAAAGCTTCCATGTAGTGTACATTTACTGGCTTAATCAATTTGGTGTTCTATCTGATTATTCAAATGCAATTTTTTAAAATCAAGCTTTCACTAAGGAAAGTCAACATGATACAATATATAGTTTCCCACAATCCATTTTGAAGTGCAGATATAGAATCTTTCTTACGTGAAGAAGTAAACAAACAGTCTGGGTCAGCATACCATATATTCCCATGTATTAAATAGCAGGTTAGGTTAGACAGATGCTGTTTTTGTGGGAAGATTGGGAGATTGAAACTATTGCATCGTCACTCATCACTTCATTGTTATTGGTTGTTTGGAATTGCATCATCTCCAGGAAATACATCACAATCAGAGATATTAACATCGATGCCAGACCAGCTGTTAATTGTTTAACAGCATTTATTAGGTCAGTCTGTATTGCAAACTGTCATTTAGATAGGATTAGTTGTGTCGGGTCCTTATTGGAGGAAAATGTTAGATTGTGATTGATGATGAAATACCCTGAAAATAAACAGTTTATAATTCTAAAGAATTTATTTGAAAAAATCTGCATGGACCTGTGAGGTTATCCAAAGGTAAGTCAATTTTTAGCTGTCTATATTTTTATTTTTATGTATCTACATCACGTGATGTGTCTGTTTTTTCTGGAAAATGTTCACATGTAGGGCAAATTGTGGAAATCTTTTTTATCAAAAACTTTCGATTTTCAAATCGAAAAATTAATTTATTCTTACAAGTGAAGTACCACAGGAACTTGTATCAACACAGCTGGCAAACAGTGGCAAACCTGGCAAACCTTGAATAACAGTGGGAAACTGTGACCTGAACATTTGCTCTTATGGAGAGAGATAGATGGAGACTATTTTTCCATGAAAAAGCTGCTATTTGGCGATACAAGTATTCGTGTGAACTACTATTATGAATACGTTTTTGCAATAAAAATCTTTTGATATGACACCAAGTACTTCTTTTTACTATCATACATGTCTTGACTTTTGAAGGTCATATTCAAACACTGCTTAATCCCTGGATGCTCAAAGCTCAACAGTAGGACTTTGGTTCCTGGTGGACTTTGGACCTTGGTGAACTTTGCTTCCTGTACACAGATCTCTTGAGGTGAGTGCAGAGTTACTTTGGACTTTGGATTGTTATGATTCATAATGAAAGACATGTATGTCCCAGTTTGATCTCAATAATTGAAGTTTTTGAAGTTGAATTAGATTAGTCATATACGGTAATATATATAACCTGAAATTTTATATAGCCTATACAGTATACCCTAGAATAAGAGGGCTCATATGTGGTCTTCTACCAGTTTGCTCTCTTGAATAATGTGTTGCATCGAGAGATATCTTAGATGAAAATTATAATTTTTTGAAATATTTTAGTTAAGGCCATTAGAAAAAGATTATATGTTTTACATCCCCTTGCGTGCACAATTAGGATAAATAAAAAAAACATCCAAATATCATTAATATGAAGCAAAACAAAGATACCTGGGGATCTAAAAGAATGATGCTGGTTTGATCTGCACAAAAATTAAAAATTTAATAGCTCAAAAGATGCCTGAATTATGCAGGTGATAATTAGTTAATGAATTAGTTCGAATGAAATCCTCTGCTAAGGGCTGATGTGAAAAAGTCAGTCCACCCCAGTGGGTATGGAATCCACGACCCCTCGCTTGCCTGGCGATTGATCTACCACTGAGGTATATTACCAACTGGCTTTTCCACATCAATATTGCATATAAGGAGTTGAGAAATGAAATGGGAATAATTTTTTCAAGTGGGAATCTGATATAATTTCATGATATTTTTAATCTCATTCTTACCCTTAGATGAAGGTTAATTTTTTTTACCATGTATCAATGAGGTTAGATATCTAACCCTTGTGCCCTTGTTCAGGTTAAGGCAGGTTAGATATCTAACCTTTGTGCATCGCACAAGGGTTAGATATCTAACCTCATTGATACATGGTAAAAAAAATTAACCTTCATCTAAGGGTTAGAATGAGATTAAAAATATCATGAAATTATATCAGATTCCCACTTGAAAAAATTATTCCCATTTCATTTCTCAACTCCTTATATATAGCGTTGCAGCAATGTCTTACATGCCCAGTTTCCTGGACCCCATATATGATGTCACATGGACTTTCCCATGGGCCTAAGGAGAAATAGTATCAGTTAATGAATTAGTTAGAATGAAATCCTCTGCTAAGGGCTGATGTGAAAAAGTCAGTCCACCCCAGTGGGTATGGAATCCACGACCCCTCGCTTGCCTGGCGATTGATCTACCACTGAGGTATATTACCAACTGGCTTTTCCACATCAATATTGCATATATAGCGTTGCAGCAATGTCTTACATGCCCAGTTTCCTGGACCCCATATATGATGTCACATGGACTTTCCCATGGGCCTAAGGAGAAATAGTATCAGTTAATGAATTAGTTAGAATGAAATCCTCTGCTAAGGGCTGATGTGAAAAAGTCAGTCCACCCCAGTGGGTATGGAATCCACGACCCCTCGCTTGCCTGGCGATTGATCTACCACTGAGGTATATTACCAACTGGCTTTTCCACATCAATATTGCATATATAGCGTTGCAGCAATGTCTTACATGCCCAGTTTCCTGGACCCCATATATGATGTCACATGGACTTTCCCATGGGCCTAAGGAGAAATAGTATCAGTTAATGAAAACACAATGAAATCCTGTGCTAAGGGCTGTTGTGAAAAAGTCAGTCCATCCCAGTGGGGATCGAGCCCACGACCCCTCACTTGCGGGCGATTGCTCTACCACTGAGCTATAGGACTGACTGGCTTTAAATGATTGAATATTGAAAGTCAAAGTCTGTTAGTGGGCCGGTTGGGGGGGGGGAAGTGGGGAACCACCTGAATCCTCCTAGCTACTGGCCTTGGTATACCTAAGATGCATTTTTGTTTTGGTTTACATTTGATTTCCTTGAACCCTTGTATACTTTTTATCGCACCCTAAGGTGCTATATTGTAATCAGTTTTTTTGATTTTGGCAAGACATTGAACAGAGTATCTACTTCTTATGGCCTTATTAGTCTCTATGACAGATAAACTATAAACATACCATTTTATTGATACAGGGGTGGGTCCAAAGATTTTGATCATAAACGGCTAAAAAGTAGAGAGCCAAAGATACATTGTACTAGGACACACTGGGATCTTTGGCCAATGAATAACCTTGAAACCATTTCTGACTGAGTCTTATCAGGTGTGGGGCCATCTCAAAATCAGCACTTACGTAACAGATTCATGATAAAAAGAATTTGTATTTTATTTCCTGTATTTTTGATAATATCCCTATCACTCATTCCTCACATGTCAATACTAGTACATGTTTTCAAAATTCAAAGTGTAAATAGTACTTCAACACATAATGATACATTGTTACTAATGACTTTGAGAGTAATTTGATGAGGTCAAAATCAAACCAGATGAATTCAGATTTGTTAGGATAGTTTCTATAGTGGTACATACTTTTAACATTAAAGCATTTACATTTCAGGAAAATGCTTCGAGGAGTCAAAACCCATCATTTTGAACATTGCATGAAAACGATATCTTCGACAACAACAAAGGAATACAACATGATCTCATTAAAATACTCGCCTATAAGTCACACATTTAAATCAATCTCATCCAGTGCACGGAATCACTCTAGGACTATATCCACAATGAAATCAACAATTACAAAGTTATTTCCTAGGACATTAAGGAATATTCAACTGGACAATATACAAGGAGGTTTCTCACATGGACAGTTTAGGTCGTTTTCACATTGCCAGAAATTATGTCAAGGTGCATTGATGCGGTCACAATTGAAAGACTCTAAAAGAGTTGTTGTGAAGCTTGGAAGTGCAGTTATTACAAGGGAGGATGAATGTGGCCTGGCATTGGGAAGACTTGCATCTATAGTAGAACAGGTATTTTAAGAAGGCTATAAAATATTTCAGTACATAATTACATTTATTAGAAGGTACAATTGTATCATTGTGCGATCTTTTCCATATTATATATTTCTTTTATGGATTCTAATTTATTCTGAGCTATAGAATGTCTAGTGTTTTTTGAAGTTTTATGCTAAACAAGTCCAGTAAATTCAATAATGATAATTTGTTGCAAAATGACAAGTGCTGTATATTTATTCAGGTGTCTGAATTAAGACGTCAAGGAAAAGAAATGATTATGGTCACCAGTGGTGCTGTTGCATTTGGGAAACTGAAGCTACAACAAGAGGCCTTGATGTCAATGAGTATATCACAAACTCTAGCACAAAGGAATGGAAAGGTATTGGCATTAATAAATACAGTGAAACCTGTAAAGTGGAACACCTCTAGTGGTGGAACACCCCCATTAGTAGAACACTTTAGTGTCCAAAGTGTCCAATTGACTTAATGTTAAATGAACCTCTATTAGTGGAACGTCTCATTAGTGTAGAACACTTTTTAGAGGTTTCAGAGGTGTTCCACTTAAACAGATTTTACTGTACTGTATATTGATAGTAGAGTTAGTACAGCTCATAATATGAGCACTTAGGTCAGAACCTCTGAAGTGTTACTCATTACAACACCCTAAATGTCAACATTATGGGTGTAATGTATCACATCCCAGACAACCTCTCATATGAGCCTGGATTGGATTTGAGAGATCCTTCAAATATGTGTTTTTTTTATCTGAATTAAGTACATGATTTTATGTGCTATATAATTTAATTCCATTGTGAAGTAAAATATGCTTTTATGGTACATGTATATAATATTCTGATTCTGTTTCTGTTGTGGTGTCTTCATGCTAATTGTTCATGTTTTCAGTAAAGGTTAACTCAGTGTTGTTTTCTCTAGGGTGCCCATGGTTACCTTGACCCTAGATCATGCGCAGCTGCAGGCCAAAGTGGCCTGATGTCCCTATATGATGCTATGTTCACCCAATATGGCATCAAAACAGCACAGGTAATTAGAGTTTACTGCTCAGCTCCAACATATGTTTGAAATGACCCCTTTATTCATTTGCATCCATTCACCCCAGGATAGAGGTCCATGCTTTATGTTTTGGAGAGGTTGACTGTGAAATTTGGATGATCAGTTTCAAGATTAAATTTGGTTGTCTTCATTGTCAGAGTAGTTTGTATAAAATGATACAATGAAATGACCCCTTTTGGACCAGTTTACAGAAATTCAAATTTGAAAATGATCACACATCTTGCATTTGTATACCTTGTCCTGTAAAATCTGATATTGATTTAGTTCATGAAAAGAAGCTGAACTGTTTTAGACTGAGTTACTGCCTCTTCAAAAGTATCTATTTTAGGTTCATATCTATTTTAGGTTCTTGTTACAAAGAGAGATTTCTTCAATGACCAGAGTAGGGGATATCTCAGATCAACCATCACTGAGCTGTTAAGGCTCAATATTGTGCCCATTCTGAATGCTAATGATGCAGTAGCGCCACCTCCAGATATGGACCAAGACTTGGCTGGGGTAGGATTTTCCATGATATTTATTTTATGAATTATGTCATCAAAGATTAATGAATAGCTTTGCACAATTTTGATTTTCCAATTTTACTGTTTTTATTTAACCAACTAACAATGCCTTTCTATTAATTTAATTAAAAGCACAACTTTGCTTTCTTATTTCTAATTCCATTCGATTGTTGTCGTTTGTTGTATTTGCAATTAATTTTGTCATACAAAGTCTATAGTTTGTCTAACATCCTAATTCAATAATTAAAAATCTTTCCAATGGTCTATTAGTTGAATTTTGTTGAATTTAGACGGACTTGGTAGAAAGTTCAAACAGCGGCTATATGGTTAGTATGTTAATAGTCTGGAAATATGGACCTCATGCTTACATTGAATATGTACCAAGGGGCGTCTTTGACACTTGTCCTATGTCATGCTTTTATTGTATCCATGCACCACTAGTATGAATATTACCAAGGAGTCTTGAACAGTTGTCTGATGTCTTAAGATAAGATCACCCATGTTCCGCTAAAGGTTCCCTTCCTAGTACTGTACATTGTATATCCTTTCCTCTAACAACTGTGCTATTTGCTTTGATTCGGACATTTTCTTGAGAACATGGTTTTGAATGAATAAATTACAATTCCTGAAATTCTTTAACAATAATTCCTGCATAAAACATAAGAGATTTATAGGCTATCCTAGGAGTATATTTTGGCGATATCCTCCTGTTATTTATTCGCCAATAGATAGTGGACTTGCTTGTAACTTTGCTTCTTGTCTAATAGTTTGCTGTGTTTCACTATTATTACAGACTTACACACATGACTCAGCTTGCACGTGTAGTATTTGTGTGCCAAATAACCCATTCACCAAGCACCTGGGAAAACCAGACCATGAAGTTATAAGATCGGTAATAAAAACTTCTAACTTCTCATGATTTCAAAATTAGCAAATTATGTTAAGTACCAAAGTAAAACAATATTGAAAAATAAAGGAATTTTTTGCAGATTTTGACGTACACAAGTACACAAAATGATTTGTATACTATTGACCAATGACCTCTTTATTGATGAAGATATATGCCATCCTTCCACATTCAAAGCTCCATGTTGAAATTAATTGTTGAAATCGTTAAAAAAGTTTAAAAACTTGAAGACTGCTTTATTTTTAAAATACTAGTGAGAACCCAGCAAACAATTAGTGAACATTGAAAAGCATTTTATTTCATAATACAATACTTACATTGTAATCTTTAGAATCTTCTCCAATCTTTAGGATAACAACATGCTTTTCTTATACATATATTTTGCTTTGGTTTTGGTTTATTGCCTCTAAACAGCTGTAATTCTATTTTTTGTTATATTTATGTCTAAAAGCCTGTCAACTTTTCTCTTATTCAGCTAGCGCTAACATTTAGTCTAAACAATTTTAAGTTCACGTTAATTTGTATAATCCATATTACAATTAAACATTGTAGGTTATCAGTGTGAAGGACAACGATAGCCTGGCAGCCAGGATCTCCGTGGAAATGAACTGTGACCTCATGCTGATACTCTCTGATGTTGAGGGCTTATACACAGGTCCCCCAGGAGAGGAAGGATCTATGTTGCTACACACATACTCTGTTGCTAAGGGGGAGGATGATAGTATTGTGTTTGGCTCCAAATCTAGAGTAGGACTCGGTGGCATGGAGTCCAAGGTAATCTACCATGTTAAATTAATTAATTAATGTCCAAATATAATAAAGTTCTTTCGCACAACATTTTTAGCCCAGCGAATTAACCACTGTAACGCAATCCAAACCAGATTTATGGGCAGTAGTTCAATTGAAACGAGCCACAATTGCAGATACATTTTAGCTATTACCCACTGTGTGAAACCTTTCTAATAGGAGGATATTCCCTCTTCCGAAATGTGTTTTCTGAATGCGATTGCTGATTCTCAAAAGATTTTGATTAAGAAGAAATCAAATCTCAGCCCCAAATATTTTCTGTCTGAAATTCAAACTGGTTTAATTTAATTTATTTTCTCTGACACAGGTGAGAGCTGCAACATGGGCTACTGAAAATAACACTCCAGTCGTGATTGCTAATGGTTTACAAGGGCCTGCCATACTTGATGCTGTTCATGGAAAGAAAATTGGAACTTTCTTCACAAAAGCTGAACAAATTGGCAATTCAGTAGAAGATCAGGCCATACAAGGTATGTTAGGGCCAGGAGGTCAAGGTCAAAAGGTCAATTGTTTTTGAGAAGGTAACATTCTAAAGGATTTGTTCTCATAATTGTCTTTAAATGTTAATGAAACAAAATTATAACATGTAAAGAACATACACTCATATTTAGCCTGCCAATACAGATAAACCTTTCCATTTGAAAATGAGAATCATCTCTACACCAAAACTTAAGTGCACTGTATTCACCCTTCCCCTGGATACCATACATTGAAATATTGTGCTATGGCGGTAGTTCTGCATGTAAATGTGGTTGTTTTCAGAGTTTGACACTCACAGCTCCCCATTGTTGCTTATTGGACAATGGACTGAATGCTAATGACTGTTTGATATTTTTAATTATCAATTTTTACTTGAGTTGTAAACCCTATTTTGTTTTTTTGTAGCGCGAGGGGGAGGTAGAAGCCTTCAAGCTCTGAGTGCTGAGCAAAGATCCAATGTGATCACTAAGCTTGCAGATCTACTGGTAGAGAGGAGAAAGGATATAATGGATGCCAACAGGAAAGATTTAGATATTGCCAGGATGGATGGTTAGTATAAATATGTTTCAAATTCTTGCAGAAACCTCCGTCTTCTTGAAATTGTTCTGTATTAGGAAAAACCTGTAGCTTATATCTGTTTTTGTGTCACCTCCAGAAGTGGTACTATATTGTTATAGTCTCCAACCTTTTGGGAATAGTGCTTGACGGTTGTCTTATCTGTAACAAATGATAGGTAGTGACATTTGCATGTTAATGCCTTGTTATAGCTCTATATCATTTTTCTCGTTTGGTCAAATTCCAAGTTTCTTCCAAGGGGTTTGATCACACACTTAAGTCCTCCTATCTGTGCACTAACAACATTATGGAATGGTACATATTAATATTGTTTCAACTCATTGTAGATATTACTGGCCCTATGTTGGCAAGACTGGTCCTCACTGACGCTAAACTACAGAGTCTTTCTAGTGGCCTTAAACAAATTGCTGAAACATCCCATTATAATATTGGGCGTGTTGTACGTCATACCAAGATGGCCAATGGTATGGATCTTCAACAGATCACTGTGCCAATTGGTGTACTGATGGTTATATTTGAGTCACGTCCTGATGCTCTGCCCCAGGTATGAAATATTATTTAACATTTTGATTGATTTAGATTTTGTAAAATCCAAATCAATTTTAAAAATATTTTTGAGTTTTAAATAAGAACTGAGTTGAGATCTTATCTGGGAGCACAGATTGGTTCATTGTAGATCTTCAAAGAATTGTTTCCCCAAGTCCCCCAAGACTCTATTGTTGATCCTAATAAGCAAGACATTTCCTAATTCTTAAAATATGAATGTGATGTCATTCATTTAGGTGCTACTGGGGGGGGGAAGAAAAGTTGCCACATTGCAACAAGATGTTTAGTACCTTGGTTCATGAGTCCCAATCTACATACATGTACATGTATAAATGTTGTGTCTTATATGTGTTTCTAGGTGGCTGCCCTTGCTATAAGCAGCGCCAATGCACTGCTTCTGAAGGGAGGTAAGGAAGCTGCACATAGCAACAAGATGCTACATGCCTTAGTGCAGGAGGCACTAGATACATACAAATGCAAGGATGCTGTACAACTGGTATGTTCACTTCACTTGATCAAACAGTTTAGAATAACCACACTAGTCACTATATCACCTACTGTATTCTGTCCCAACTAGTAAATGATGTTATACTTCTCTATGGGCTATTATATTTTGTTACCAAATATTGCATGAATAAGGCAGTCTGTAAACCTAGTCTGAATCAAGCCCCTGTGTTGCCCCCTCCCCTCTATTGTTGAGGAAATAGATATTACGGGAGGGGGCAGAGGCAAGCTGAGTTTATTTCTTACCAATTGTGTGCCAATGTATAAGTGATACCATTTGAATACATATCTGGTCATTGATTGTGTTACAGATCAGTAGACGTGAGGACATTGAAGACCTGCTACACATGGACAAATACATAGATCTAGTAATCCCTCGTGGCTCCAATGAGCTGGTTAGCACCATACAACAGCAGAGTAAAAGCATTCCTGTATTAGGTCACAGTGAGGGCATATGTCATGTGTATGTCGATAAAGAAGCAGACCTAGATAAAACTATTAAAATAGGTAGGTTCTTCCATTTTACTCTTGCTATAGTTACCAGAAGTGGTAACATGTTGTTATGGTTTCCAACTTTTTGTGATAGCCATTGGCGTTGACATTTGGCATCTGTAACAAATGGTAGGGTGTGACATTTGCAATTTAATGCTTTTTGGCTCACACAGTGAGCCTATGGGATCGACCAGGCGTCCGTCCGTTGGTCCGTCCGTCCGTCTGTTTTATCTTACCAATCATGACTTAAATATTAATATGGGTATTTCCTATAATTAATATATACTGGATTTTAACTTACCAAATATGACTTCAATATTAATATGGGTTTAAACCTATAATAAATTAAATACTGGATATGACAAATAAATAAAATCAATTATAATCTACCTATATGATGTAGATATCTAAATGTTGGTCTGAATTTATCTTTGTGGAAAGATTGTATGCTTCAGTTGCTCTTTAACAAAACATGTGGGACAGTGTATCTATATATTACAAGATGTCCGTCCGTCCGTCCGTTGGTCCGTCCGTCCGTCCGTCAACATTGGCCGCACAAATTGAAACTGCTATTCGGATTGAGTCATATCCACATTCATTTTATGCATATCCATAATGCCTATTTGACCTATCATCGCCATTTCCCAAGTTCGCCCGGTTTTCGAGAAATTGCGGATTTTGACGTCAAAAAGTCAAATTTTCTGTAAATACTAGACACTTTGTTGAAGTAGAACTTCCAAATAACTTTTAGTAGTTGCTGTATATGCAACTTATGTCTGCTGAAGATTTCAAAGCTCTTGGAATTACAGTTTTTGGTGTTTACTCAATAAAATTTGACAAAAAGTAGGACTTAGTCATTTTCAGGAAACTTTCTCATGTATAAAGTCAATGGCAGGTTTTGTGATTGACAAGTTTCTCAAAGTTTGCCTTATACTTGATCATTTCTTGCAATGAATTACATCATTACTAGATTTAAGCATTCCCTACATATTGCTCAATATACATGTATGTCAACATCAAATTTTTACAGTTTTTGAGATATTTGACGTCAAAAAACAGTAAAAATAAGTTATTTTTCAACTTGCTTCAATTTGACCAAATTTTTTTTTGAAAATCATCTACAAGTTGCCAGGAGCTCAAATCTGACATTAGTTTTAGGATTTGACCTTTACTTGACCTTCAGTGACCTTCGAAAGGTCAAAAAAGTTGATTTTTCAAATTGATTTTTGGATTCAAATTTTGGTCATCTTAATCACAAAAGACCTTACTGAGCTCTGAATAAGTAAAATTTTCAAGGTCAAAGTTCATCAAACTAGGTCACACAACTGTGCTATCAAAGTTTATTTCTCAAAGTTCAAGACTACAAATCCAAACCAATATTTTTGTCAGGATATACATTCCTCTGAAGGTTCCAAACTGTGTGAGCACAGGACCGTGGGTCCTATTTTTGAGTGAAAATGAGTGAATTTGAAACTTTACAAATAAGTGATTTATCATTGAAATCAATGGAAATGAGAACCTGACTAATGAGAACCTGATTTCCACATATCTTGAATTGGTTGTTATATTCGTTTGTTGTTTTTCAATTTATGATCTGTACTGTTAATCACTTTGTTAAAATTATTTGTATTATTAATTCTAGTGTTGGATTCTAAGTGTGACTACCCTGCTGCCTGTAATGCCATGGAGACACTCCTTGTACATAGACGTCACATTGGAACTCAGTTCATGGACCGCATAATTGATTCCTTGAAACAAGAAAATGTAAGAGGATCTAACATAACTTCTGTGCTCATCACATGCATAATATTAAGGATTTTGATATTAGGGGCTTGTAGAAATAATTGTAACTATGATTTTTGTAGAAATAATTGTAATTATTAATGAGAAATTAGAATCTGGACTCATTAAAGTTAAATATGATGTATATCATTATGATTCACAAAATTATGAATATGTTTAAACCTTTTGTTCAGATTCAGATTCAGTTTTTGTAAATTCAGAAAGAGAAATTGATCCCTATTACTGGAAATGGACTACTCTTGGTTCTTTTAGCCAAATGAAATATTGAAATAATCTCATATTCAGTCATACAGTGAATAAATATTATTTTACAACAGAATGGATTCTACTTCTGAACTACTGGTACATGTATACTCATACTAATAATATAATTCCAGATAAAGGTCCATGCTGGTCCAAAACTTGCCAACATTTTGAGGTTTACGTCTAGTCCCGCAAAGTCCCTAAAGACAGAGTATGGAGGCCTGGAATGTACAATTGAGATTGTTGACAACATTGGGGAGGCCATCAACCACATACACAAATATGGAAGCTCCCATACAGATGTTATCGTCACTGAAAATGGTAATAATACAGTAAAGGTTGTCAAAGAGCATGCCTCTTTCTAATAATCATATTGTTCACCAATGAAGAGTAATGATTTCCAAAATTAATACTTTCTCCGATTCAGAATAAGCATAAATTCATTGAATTTCTAATTTCAACAAGTATTGCTAATAATGCAATAACTTATTGCTGCATTCTTCAAGAATGTTCATTGAATGACTTCAAATGGAATATCAACATAGAGAAAGGTTGCATTCTCTTTGATTCCTTTTAATAAATGTACAATAGACCTTCATCCGGACATCATGCAAAAATGCTTAATTTCATTCACTTAAGGTATCAGAGCATTCTCTAGTTCTTAGGATTAACAATAGTGAAGACCAAGAAATAACTTTCTTCTGTAGATTTTCAAGATTTTGGTATTATAATTGATATCATAAATAATAATTTTGCTTTCCTTTGCTTGCAGAAGATGCAGCTGAGTTCTTCTTGCGTTCAGTCGACAGTGCTTGCGTTTTTCGAAATGCTAGCTCCAGGTTTTCAGATGGATACCGCTTTGGACTAGGCGCTGAGGTTGGAATTAGTACCTCACGTATTCATGCACGTGGTCCAGTCGGAGTTGAGGGACTACTTACTACAAAATGGATTCTTAGAGGAACAAATGACAGTGCAGCGGAGTTTGCTGATGGAACCAAGACATTTGTACATGAACCCATTGTAAAAAATGGTGTCAAAGAACTGGAGAAGGCAAAAGGGAGATTGGAAGGAAAATTAAAAAAAGTTGCCCAGCAGTGATTTAAGCTGTTAATTGGCATAATTGGCAATGTCCAAACTAGAAACTGTTAATTCAGCATATATATTAAAATTATTCTTGTGATATATTTTATTTTTATTGCACTGTCAACAAAAAGTTTCATAATTTGTTAGTAAATATGCCTTTATTACAACTTGTATGGTTTGAAAGATGGCACTATTTGTACGATGTCATCTCCTCACTTATATGAATATCATTTGTACCTGGATTATAAGGTATATATGATCAGAACAAGGGGCTTATAAAGTCCAGCTAAAGGGCCAGAACCCTGTTTGGAGGCCTTTGTAAATATTCTCTGATGACAAAAGTTCAAATCACCACATGCACAACTGTCATATTAATGCCCTTTGTGTTTCAATGGAATGAGCGCATTAAATCCTGTTAGAATTGAGCTTTTTCAAAGTCATTTAATTCTTTTTTTTTAATTTTTGGTCACCTTTTATTGACTTGGCATCTTGTTCTTTATGCCAAGCAGAGACATATAAAACATCTCTCTGTGCCAAGTTAATACTTGTTGCAAGAACCACTTGGGTGTTTTCAAGACTCTTGGTAAACCAGATGTGTTAGATAAGATCTTGGTGTGCCATTTTAAAATATGAAATATTTTTGCTCAGAATGACTTACATGTATATTAATATTTTGTATGTTAACTCACTCAGATAAAGTTCTCATTATATTTGATAGAAATGTGTGTTTACAGATTCATCAAAGAAAGTATTTTGCGGAAGTTTGTTGACATGAGTTTTTTCCATTAACAAGTGTGTCCAGTTGATGAGATATTAAACACTATGTATTCTTGTTATCACTTATTTGTGCCATAGTTATGACAACATCAGCCTTTTATATGCAGTACTCTATATGGACTTATTAAATCATTGTAAATCACAAGCTCTTTGTATAAGAGCCTTGTGGAAGAATGAATAAACATGTACAATGTTATATAATTGTTTGGTTATTGTTTTCATGAACAGAATATCCACTCTCGAAGAGCTTCACATGTTAGAGGGAATTTCAATTAGATTTATTAAGGCTGTAATATATTTTAAACTTAACTGATGATACAGTAGCAGCACATTTTGTACCAAGATAGTGTTCCACTTGTAGAGGTTTATTTTTCAAGAGGGGTTCAACTTAACACCTAACAAAATTTATTGAATGGCACTGTATATATATTCTGTAAAAAATGTTATTTAAAGTAAACTTATACCATTGTTCCCTCTCTCGCAATTACGCAAGGTCTCAGATTTCATATGTAAGTGGCGATACGGAAAAACCCGTCAGGCAGTATACACATTTTCCATCTGGATGAAAAACTTCTTTATGAAAAATTGTTCAAGTTGTATTTAACCTGTTAACAGATTTGGTTCAAGTTAGCAGTATATAAGCACTAAGTTGTCATTTTTCAAATTGGTTTTTAGGTTAATATTCCCCAGATATTTTCTGTGAAGGTATGGCTTAACAGTCTAGTGATTTGATTCAATGCTATGCATTTTTGGGCAAATGCCTCTATTAAACAAACTGTCACTGATGTATTCAACTTCATAAAGAATTAAGAAATGATGAATTATAATGGCAAATGGATTCTAAACTATAGTGATCAAAGATTTCAACATTTTGAATGATATACATGCAGTTTGGTTCTATAAAGTGGCTCTTATTTAACAATGTCTATACCTGGAAGCATCCTACACTCTCATTTGGCTATAGTATGTGGCCATTTTGAAAAATGGTAGTCAACTTTGCAAGTTATTTTTAGCCATAACTGGCAAAGCAGTGGAGCCATTTTGTCAACATTATACATGTAAATATGTTGAAGCATAACACATTTTCTTTTGACACCTAGTCTATAAGGCAGCCATATGAGAACTTTATATTTAAGTTCTTGTAAGCATGAAGCAGTCTCAGTTTGCTCGATAAGTTAGCCATTTTGAATTTTTATAGAAGGATCAATATGTCATCAAGTCCAACAAATTATTTTAGACCATTCTGTAGTGTGGCAACGTCAAGCCCTGTTAAGGTAACTCCGCCATCTTGGCCTATAATTGACCCGTTAAACATGGATGCATCGTCTGAGACCAAGAATGCCACTACCTTTGCCGTCTGCTCAACTGTCCCTAGTCTTCCAATAGGTGTCGCTTTCTCGAACATCAACCTAATGGCTTCACATGCTTCTGGATTGCCGTTGTACATACGTGGTATAAACTCAGTCGGAACATATCCTGGATAAAATGCATTAACTCGTACATTCTCAGGCCCATACTCCAGCGCAGCACATTGAGTAAACATGTTCAAACCTGCCTTGCTTATGATGTAGAATGGTAAAATAGTGGATGGCCTCGCCCCAAGGATTCCAGATATATTCAAAATGTTCCCATGGGATTTTTTTAACTCGGGGAAACAAAGCTGTGAAAGGTATATAGGTGCCCTCAGAAACACTTGATAGCTGGTGTCCATGAGTTTAATGTCACTTTTGAGTAGACTTTCAACAGATGCTCCACCTGCATTGTTTACAAGTACATCAATGCCTCCGAGTTCTTTAACTGCAGTTTTTACTATACGCTCCAATGTTACATCATCTTCGATGTCACCACGCACTGTTGGAAACTTTGCAGAAGGGTTCTTAACCTTAACACACTCTTCAACTGTGGCCTTTATCGAATCCTCATTTCTTCCATGGATCAGCACATTGGCTCCACGTCTGGCAAATTCTATGGCAAATGCTCTTCCAAATCCACAACTTGATCCTGTGACAATTATGTTCTTTCCAGTAAAATTCATCTTGGAAAATCTGTTATTTGTGATACATGTACCAAGCCAAATTACAGACCTGTCAACCTCATGAATTTTTACGGGAATCTACTGCAAAATTTTTGTTTTTCCGTAAAAATAATAGTGCCATATTCTCGGGCACAAAATTAAACAACCACCAAAACACAACCAACTGTCAAACTAACACAACCCAATTGGGCACAACCGAATAATGAACCAACACAACCCAGCCAACAAAACCAAACTCAACACAACCAATTGTTGAATTAACACAACACAATTAGGTACAACTTAACACCAAATCATAACACAATCAAGCACAAACAGATAAACGACCAACAAAACACAATTAACTGTCAATATAACACAACCAAAGTCGGGCACAACCCAATAATAAACCAACACAACACCACCAATAAAATCATAGTCAACACAACCAATTGTTGAATTAATACAACATTATTAGCCACAACCCAACAACAAACCATCATAACATGCTCTGTAAAATTCCAGTAATCTGATTGGTTGATTACCGTGTGAGTTTTCCCGTCTCACACGGCCGTCTCACACGTTACTAGAGGCAACCAGTGATGATCAATAGCAACGATGTGACGTCACTGATTATATCACTTCTAGATAAGGAAAACAATATGACGTCATAATATTTCACAAACAAGTACGAATACAACGGTATGACGTCATATTGTTTCAAAGCGAAATCAAAAATTATAGTAGTTACCAGAAGTACTGAACACAATCATAACTGACCAAATCAAAATGCTTCAAAATTCCTAGACATGTGATAAAATCGTCATCACACGTTTCAGCTTATGTGATACAGGAAATATTCCACTCGGGTAACAATGTATCACCACTCAAGCTTCGCTTTCGTGGATGATACAATATTACCTTTCGTGGAATATTTCCTGTATCACATGCTGAAACGTGTGATAACTGATATTATCACATGCTCTGTAAAATTCCAGTAATCTGATTGGTTGATTACCGTGTGAGTTTTCCCGTCTCACACGGCCGTCTCACACGTTACTAGAGGCAACCAGTGATGATCGATAGCAACGATGTGACGTCACTGATTATATCACTTCTAGCTAAGGAAAGCAATATGACGTCATACTATTTCACACCCAATACAACAGATATTAACCACCAACAAAGTTACATGGATATACCATTTTATGAAGAATCTACCAGAAAAACTACTGTTTTTTGGAAAAAAAGACAAGTCTCGGTTTGGAGAACAGACTACTGGGCTAATAATTTTTTTAAGGAAAATATTTAGAACTATCACCCGACTTAAATTATTGCAAAAACTATGTTTTTTAAAATCTACTGCACAAAATTATACTGCAGAAATTTTAAAAAAATACTGGAAAACTACTAGATTATGGAAAAATCGACCACTAAAGTACAGCGCAGTTTAAAAAATTCATTTTAGGTTGGCAGGTCTCTGTTATCTGGGATCTGATATGTGCATCAAGTCATCAAAACTTCACTGTACTTGATTACTGACATTTCAAATTTATTAAAGCTAAAAACTGGTGTTAAATGTCACTTTAGTTGGTTCACCTTGGTAATTTCAATAGAGTTTACTATGTCCTCATATGCCCTCTGCCTGTGTTAACCTCATAAATATATGTATAAATACAAATCTTCATAAAACACCTAGTTAAAAGGTCCAAACAAGTTATCTTTTGGCATAACATTAACATGACAAAATGTCACCACCTTAGTTGAAGCAAGATAAAAAATACCCTTTTGACCTTGAGGAGGTCATAAAAGGTCAAATCTATTTTGACCTTGAGACTTGAAATGTTGAGAACTTGTAGATGATTTTGAAAAAAAAATATGGTTAATTTGAATTAAGTTGAAGAAAGACCTTTTTTGAAAAGGTCATTGAAGGTCAAATCTTAAATATAAAGTCAGATTTGAACTTCTGAAAACGTAGATGATTTTGAAAACAATTGAAGTCAATCTGTATAGTATTTGATAAATTAATGGAAGTTGTAAGAATTTGTTACAGATGCCGTCCGCTGATCGCCAACCACCAACTGCTGACCGCCGTAAAAAAAACAAGACCATAATAATATGTCACGACTTTTTGGTGGTGACATAAAAACAGCAACTCAACACTGAGCAGAGAAACAAATTATATTTTTCATATTTTCCTCATCATGGATATTTCTTGATTGAGTAGTAGTGAAGTGATTCTTTTTGGCAAAAACTACACTAACATTGGTGAAGAGGTGTTCCAAGTTTAGTTTAGGCCATTTTGAAGAGATGGTTTAATCTATAAAGCAGTAATAAATTAACAATTTTCTTCAGTGTTTAAAAGTATATGCAGAGAATTCAAATACTTGTCAAGTATTAATTAACAATGATGTAATTACATGTACTGTATGTCGTGCATCACAGCACTTGTTTCTAATTTTAAAGACTTTAACATAATTCTAAAAAAAATAGTAAAACATATTGAAGTTATGAATATGATCATACTAACTTTTTAAGGAAGAGTAATGTAGGTAAATATGTAGGGGAGGAAGGGACAAGTACACAGTAAATGTTTTTATGTCACCACCAGATGTGGATGGTACTCCTGTCCATAGTTGGTGTTCGGCATCTGTTTCAAATGGTGGTGACATTTTGCATGTTAATGCCTTTTTGGTTTTGAAATCAACCAAATGTGATTTTCCAACCTTGTGTGATGTTCTTCATGTACATGCCAATCATTGTGGTGTTCTTCATCTACAGGGTGGTCCAAAAAAGTTAACTTTTGCAACAGGCTATATTTCCCTTATTACAAGTAGGAATCCTTCCATATTTTCACATGTTGTAGAGGAAGGTTTAACATTTTTATTGGTACCATACATTCTTCGTAGTCTTGAAATTTGCAGAAATTATAAGCCCAAACCAAACATCACTGAAAATCAATAAAATGTGAACTTCAACATTTGCAATTCTTCAACTCTTCAACAATCTTCCTTTAATTTTTTAGCTGCAATCTGAAAAAGCCAATGTTTGGTTTGTTTGGTTTTGAATTCCGCACATTATGGTGTAAAAATTAGCATCTTGCCTCCGTTAGTTGCAAAGTTATTGTGATCCAAAGAAAACATCTTCCAGTGAAATTGCAGCATACCGCTATATGGTCTTAAAATGTCAATATCTTCATTAATCATGAACCAACTCTAATGAAATATGGCTCAAAACACTGAATATTCAATTTCCTTTTGATCTTTGTAAGATATTTATATGAAGGGCTTCTCAGATTTTAGGTCACAGGGGGTAACTTTGCCCCCCTCTAACCGTTTGTGTAGGTAACATACCCCTCAACTGATGAATGGTTAAAACTGTTTCAAAATGATTAATGAAAGTGTGAAACATGTTTTCTGCCCAAATAGTGTCTCATTTGTCATATGGGATGGTTGAAACTTTATCTCTCACTGTAAGCTTTTTTAAGATCATCCAATGTTTTTCAACAATTTCCGTGAATCACATTGGTAAAATTTTGCATAATATCTAATTTTAGGCACGTTTGTTTAAGTTTTGTAATTTCTTCAAATTTCAAGACCGAGAATAAATAATGGCATCAACAAAAATTTACAAAATAAAAAAGCCAATTCATGCATGTATTCAGGAAAATAAAGCCTGTTGCAGGGGTTCACTTTTTTGGACCACCCTGTGGCTTGTACATTGACAGTGTCACTATCAACAATAAGACTCAATTGACCAAACTTTCCACAACTAAAAATAAAACATTTCATGGATGTGGGAACAAACCCAAATTGAATAACTAAGTCATATTTTATCACAAATTGTTAGATTGTTATGTTCCCAACATTTCTTTTCTTAATAGCATCAGTTATAATCCTTTTACAATAAATAATCAAGTCACTTCCTTATATGGAGCAATATAATCAAGTCACTTCCTTATATGGAGCAATATAATCAAGTCACTTCCTTATATGGAGCAATATACAGTAGAGTAACGCATTTGAGTTAAGAGTACAAAGCAACAATGCATTTATTCCAAAATTATTAAGTACAAATTATTACAGAAATGAAGTAATATATTCTGTGATTTTTGCAGTATTGCAAGAAAGGCATTTATAATTTAAACAAACATTATATATATATTGCAGTCACGATCACATTTTAGAAGTACTTTTAATATCAACAGTAATGTGTGAAAATGTTTCCCTGAACAACTGAATGTACTGGGTATGTGATGACTGATGAGCCTATTGGCTTTTCGAATGGAATACATTACACATTTCTGCTCCTGAACAGACTACAGCTGAAATAGTGTAACTTGAGTTAATTTGATTCTTTTTAATTTTCGTGTTTTGCAGTTATTTAATTTGGCAGATTTGGTCCAAGATCAATTTACGACATTTATGAATAGTAGAATTTTATATGTTATTGATTTCAATACTAACCATCACATCAATGATATGATCCTTTGTTTCTCCGACCTTTAAGGCAACAAATACTTAGCTTTATTGCGTTGTGTTTTTCTTAAAATTGTTTCACAGGGATTTTTTTAAAGTTTTTAGAAGATGGCAACATATTAAGTGGTGGATTTAAATTGTTCAAATAAATCTGGGTGCTGTTTCAACCCAAGCTACAGTATAACATTTTGTTCATCTCAGTCATTGGATTAACATGATATACAACAGCCCACATGTGATATGTTGATAGTTTCTGTTTTTGGCGGTCACATTTGACTAAATGCCATATACTTATTTGCAACCAATACAAAATCATTTTTTGGTGGATATTTGATGAATATATTCATTGATTGAACTGCTGGCTGATCTTTCAATCATTTAGAAAGGCAAGAATGGTGTTTGAACAATAATCCTAGTTCAAACCAATTATTGAAATTATTCAAAATTGCACATCAAATTATGCACGCACCCAGAGCACCCCTACAAATCACACATCTCTTAATCTTTTTTTACAACATGAACTCTTAAATAAATAGGACTATACAAATGTAACAAATATGAACATCATACACTACATCTGAAATAGAAGCATAGCAGCTTCAAGCTTCTCCACTTTTCATACAAACTGTACATAGACTACTTTTGAAATTAAAGCTTTAGCAATTAGACATCACAGCCATTTAAAGGGGCAACAAGGCCTGTAGAGAGAATGGCCCCTCTGCACTAATTGTTGCACCTTTAATTTAATTCCTTGAGGAACCAGTATGAAATCAGCTAAAAATCACCTCCAATTTAATTGCTACTAGCAATGTACATAATACAAAAGATCCTTAGCTTTACTGTATAATTTTGGCTTTATAAGATGTCATGGATATGCAACTTAGTGTACATCAGCATGATTGTCAGATTGTACATTAGTCCGAGTAATTCCAGTCAAAGCTTTGGACTGAGCGTAAGACTTTTTCACCCTTTTACACCCCCTAGGTACAATCTTGACAGCATAACACACAGCCTGTATATTTGGGAGAACACCATACTCAGAACACCAACTGACTGTAATTATTCAGGGGTAAACATGTACATTAAAATGTGGGAGAAGAAGATATATCCATTTGTCTTTCAACATCAGATGAACTTTCCTCAGACTCCAGTTCCCCCGCCATGGGATTATTTATATCTATTTTACGTGGGTGTGTTTGACGTGGCGGTGTACAATCTTGACTACTAACACAATCAGTTAAACTTTGAGTCTCATCTGATTGTTCACTTTGACAAGATTGTTCACTTTGATCCATTTGTTCACTTTGGTGTGAGTTAACTGGGGATGATTGCAAATGTTTTGGTCGACGCACTGAAGGCTCATGGGAGTACTGTCTGGGAAGCGAATTTGATTTCGTTGGCTTCTTGGCAACTTCAGGAGCCACTTTGGATTTGACAATTACATCATCTATGAACGAGAAAGAGTCTGACTTTGACTGTGGAATAGACTTGCTTTGTGAAGTAGATTTGTCTGAGTGGGACTGTAAACTAGACTTATCTAAATCATCTAATGATTTACGTTGCAGTTCATATAAAGGATTAACAGCCTCAGTTTCATTGTGATGAGAGACTGTATTAACCTTGTGATCAGGCACTCTCGGTCTCAGCTTAGGCGATCTTTTCAATTGCTGTATACGTGTCACTTTTTCAGGGACAAGTGGCTCCTTTGATATATGTTGTGTTAAAACATGTAAAGAGGTCTCTGCTGGTTGTGTCATGTGATCTCCATGAATCGTCACTAGAGTTGGACTCCTTGGAGATTTTGGCGCGACAGGAGGTGGGGTCTTTTTTCTTACAACAACAGGAGGTGAAGTTTTTGGCGTAGGAATATTTTTACGTGTAGGAGAGGGAGTTTTTCTTTTATTGGCAAGTTGTAACTTTGCAGCAGCTTCCCTGGCCTCTGAAAATGTGACGTAAAAAGGATATTCAGGTATCGGGTCAACAATGTTTTCCTGAATGTCATAACTGTAATTATATTGATTGATCCCTCCCTAAGAAATGTAATTTTTAAAAGATTTTCAAACAAAAACATTTTCTCTTCCCCAAATGTTATTATATGTATTAAATGACAAACAGTGATACATGTTGTACATGTATTACCTTGTCCCTTGAAATAAATCAAAAATATCAGATAGAAGTATAATCTAACTTGACAGATAGTCCTTTATTTAGAAAAGTTTGCCTCTGGAAATTGGATTGATATGAATACCTTGCTGTTGTTTTTCCCTCCACCGTCCCCTAAGTTCCTCAACTTGATGTGACAGTTGCTCAAGTTGCTTTTCCTCTTCACACACCTCGCCAGAAAGTCTCTGTAAATGGCACAAACTTAATCCTTGAAGCATTGAAAGTATGCAATATTACAACTTAAATGTAATTTGACCAACCATTGATTCAAAAATTGCATTATAATGATCAGTAAATCATTACTCTTGAAAGGACTAGGGGCAGAATCCAGGCAAAATCCAAATTAACGAGGCAAATGTAAAGAGGTGAGAAAATTCCAAGCCAAAGAGAATATTATACTTTAAAGGGGCAATATTTTCGAATTCTAGAAAGAACATCAAAGAAATATTTTTTGGTAAAATTTCACCTATATCCATAATACCATCAATAACATTTATAGAGATTGGGTGCCATTTAAATTAAGTTGTAACATAAGAGTGAGAGTCATAAGTTGAGCAACTACCTCAAGTCCTTTGCTAAAATGTTTATTAATATTTAGGATACTGCTGACACCATCTAGATGATGTGGCTGTGTATTAGAGTGTTCCCTGTCTGCCTTTTGTAGCATACTTCTGTATAAGTGAGAACTTGGATCAACTGGCAATCTGGACTGCAATCTGTAGTCCCCTTGTGCTGTATCTTTCAGGTTCATAACATTTACGGCCACTGGAGCGAACCCAACATTCCTGCAACAAACACTTAAAAAATAACAGTACATTTTGTATTTTTAAATCACATACTACATGTATGTACAGTGAGTATATGTCATGGAAATTTTTTTAAGGATAAATTGGGTAAAATAGCAATTCATTGCAAATGTACAGTTTGTGAATGGACATTAAATCACTGTAAGCAGAGGATTCGAGCATTACTTGAGCATCTTTCTAATATAATATCATACATGTCAACATGTAAAGTTATTCCATTTTACTAGCTTGTGTAATTGTAGCCAGAATACTGACTATAGATCATAAACGACCTTTGAGATGCTAAAAGAATTAACCAGAGACATTTCAAAAATTTTAAATATGGATATAAAATAAAAGCAATCACATGGAGGTGTCAAAATGTTGAATTGTTGGAGGTTGTTTCGTTCAATTTTTGATGCCCCATAGCCTCTTATATGTGAACACTGGCACCTTCTCGAGCTACAACATTCGTTTCAGACAGGTGAAACTATGTACAAAAATGTAAATATGTACATATGTAAAAATATTTGAAATGATATGTTCTCACACAATAACTATATGAAATAGGATACAAGACATTAACATGACAAAATGTCAACACCTAGTTACTCACAATATTATGAGCTCAAAGAGACAGATTTGAACTTCTGAGAACTTGAATGATTTTGAAAAAAAATCTGGTCAAATTAGAAGCAAGTTGAAAAAATACATTTTTTGCCCTTGAGAAGGTCATTGAAGGTCAAATCTAAAGTCAGATTTAAACTTCTGAGGACTTGTGGACGATTTCGAAAAAATTGAAGTCAGTCTGAACAGTATTTGTTAAGTTATTGGAAGTTGTAAGAATTTGTTACACAAACTGATCGCCAACCGCTGATCGCCGTCACAAAAAATGGAAACCATAACAGTATGTCACCACTTTTTGGTGGTGACATAATAAAATACAATACAAAATAGAATAAAATTTCATTCACATACAGAGACTACAATCTACATACCTCTTATATTGCATGAAGACCTGCTCCACAGTGTGTGTAGATATATTAGGTGTCGTGAATTGGGAGAATAATCCAAACAGGAAGTACTTCTCTAATTTGGGACCAGCATGAGAAATGAGATTGGCATGTAACATTCTCTCACGTGTTGTCAGTGTGCTACTGCTGTTACGACGGAATTTGTACCATCCAATGATATCCTAAAAACAGAAGAATGGAATCCTATCATAATCATAATCATCATTATGAAGAAATGAATTAGAACTGAAAGGTCCATATTCTGAGGTATATTTTGTGTACAAATGATTTTTAGAATTTTCTTTTTACACTTTGATCAGTTGAAATTGTCTTGATTAAAATTGCCAAGGGAGTAGTCCTTATGGGATCTTACAAAATGCACCGGTTTACTCAACTTCAACAAAAACCAGTTTATTCAACCTTAATGTGTACTTGTCAGTTTATTTACGTTCAACACATACCAGTTTATTCAACCTCAATAGTTAACCAATTAATAAAACCTCAACATAGTTAATCAAAAGGATGAGAATCAACATGTACCAGTTTATTCAACATCAAAATGTACCAGTTTATTAAATCTCAAAATGTACCAGTTTATTTATTCTCAAAATGTACCAGTTTATTTAATCTCAAAATGTACCAGTTTATTTAATCTCAAAATGTACCAATTTATTCAACATCAAAATGTACCAGTTTATTCAACTTCAACATGTACCAGTTTGTTAAACATCACTGACTTACTTGTAGCTTATCCTGGAGTAGGTCTTGCAGTTTCTCTGCATCTATTGTTCCTACTGCATTGTAAAATGATAGAGGCTTTGGGCATGGTACATGACTAAACACATCTGAAAAAATAGAATTGATAATTTTCATAATCATATGTGTATCATATCATATCATTTTTGAAGTGGTATAATAGTTATAAATGAGGACCCTTGAATAAAACAGACAGTTTTTGGGACGGGAATTCCAAGACAAGATTCCAAAAACATCCATGAAAATGTCAGATCAATTCATCAAACAATTTGCCTTGACGCATGTAGACAAGACTTTAAAAGTAAGATTTTACGATGGAAAATTCAAAATGGCCACCTTTATATTTGCCCAGATTGCTTGGTAAACTGATGACAATATAGCACACAAGGGTGAACCCGTTTTTAGATTATGGCATGACAAAATAGGTGCTCTTGAACATTTTGAGAGTATGCCATGGTGTTTTATGCGTATATGATGCTACGCTAATGGATCACAATATGGAACACAAGTGGGCAATAAAAACAGAATACATGTAACTTACTAAGTACAGTCTCCTCTTTCAAGTTGTTTATCTGTGAATCACTGATACTGTCAGAAATTGTTGTAGATAGCTTGCCAATCAAAAATCCTTCCTGAAATGCAATAAACAAATCATTAACAGGATAGAATAAGAAGTTATAATTATGAAAGTACCCATTTTTCTCATCTTGGACATAGGTGACAAAAAGCTATAAAACAGCAGACATAAATTGTAATCTTGGTTATTCAAAAAGATACACTGTTAAAGGGGTACTGGAAATATATGTGAAAATCATATATGCATCTAATCCAACAGTACCAACACAAGTTTTTCTCCCCATCTCCCATGGATGGAGATCTAACAAGATTCTTTTTTGGCAAAAACTAAACATGAGATTCAGTGTACTTAGGTATAATGTGGATCATAGATGCCGCATTTAATTTAGGGAGTTTCAGCCATGTTAATATTTTCAAAAATAACATGTCAGAGAAGGATCAAAATATAAGAGGCCACACATATGATAACCAAACTACAAAACAAACCAAAATATACAAAAGAAAGGTTTTGTATGTATATTTCTATTTTTTCATATACTGTTGCAATATGGTCATTTGATTGCTTATTTGTTAGATTCAAAGTTGTTTCACAGAATTATGAATCTGACTGTAGTCTTAGGATAACTTCAAATGTGCCCTGTTCTTAGAATTCATTTGCCCCAGGCCAAAATATCAATTGGTAATAGTTTTGTTAACAGCAATATACTGTAGTACTGATCTATGATAGATATCAGACAAAACAGATATTTCAGATTTGGAGTTTAGGCATAACAGAATCAGTCGCACTCAGCATATAGCAAGACCAAATCATGATCTATACTTAATTCTTCTCTCCAAGTAAAGGTAATCTGGAGTGTCCAGCAGAAAAAGTGGTTCAAAATGCTTCAATCTGATTGGTCAAAATGGCGTATTTCAAAAAATTGTCCAGCAAGTCTGTTTTTGAATGATTTGATGATAATAAACTAGTGCAGTTTTTGTGTCATCATGACACTGACAATGGAATAGGACTTGGATCAAAGTCATCTGTTTGATTATACTGTATATGCTGAAATTGACAAAATTTCAAATGGAAAATGTTCACACTATAAACTCCTACAGAACTACGCACATTTTTCCCAAACTGCATGGTCAGCGTTAAATCACATCTTCAAGAATTAAGCCTGGGAGCATATCAACTATTACTCATCTAGGCACCATACACGCCTAACCATCGACAAGGTACAGTCACGTGACAGTGACAAAATATGCCGAAGTACACTTTTGATGTACTATGTCATTTCCGCCATTTTAGATCGCCATTTTCTAGAATGAGGAAGCGAGGTAAGAACTAGCATTGATTTGATCAATATTGTGTCAGTTCATCATCAGGCAGTTGTTGCATTCGATTTGTAATTAAGTTGCAAATATGCATATCTACTTCAAATGATCGTCAGCAACTTCAATATCTTGTTATAGATCTACCCAGTACGTCAGGGATCTCTAAATCTTGACTGAATTTCGCAAAATTCTCTCTAATTTTTGTTTTGCTATGCAAATAACAGCCAAACTACGACTAACACAACTTAAGATAAGTATACAAATATACATTAAGAGTTAATGCAAAACCGCTTTTTACTTTGGATGCTACTACAAAAAATAGATAATGTATGTTGTCAACTCGAATGTATGTTGTCACATTGGCCTTACAGATCTCAATTCACAGTTAATTTTACAGTGAATAAAATGCTATAATGTACGTGTAATAGAAGGAACATATTTGATAATAAAGTAATAATTTATAATAATAGGGCTGGCATATCGAAAAATTTTCTCTAATATTTTGTCCGTTAATCCATTAAATTGTCATTGATATGATTAAATTTTAATCTTACTAATAATTTTTTAGTATTCCATAACCCTGGCTTTTGAACTTCTGCACTTTCCCCCCTAGGCAGACATATACCAATTTCTCCATAGTATGTGTCATATATCATATTTAAGCTTTTCCAAAGTTACATTGATTTGCCAAATATGATGGTTCAAATGGTGAAAGGTAACAGGCATTTCAAAAATTAGCGTTTTGCCAAAAAGTTCATTTCAGTATCCTGGAAACAGCCCTGACCTGAATGTGACAGAAAATATGGATGCTATTCTCGAAGATAATATATGGATATCGAGTTCTAAAAAGATGACGTTTAGGGTAGATACTCCAAGGAAACTCTTCTTATGCCTTAAAAAGGTTCTATGAGGATTACAAAACGCCATATCCCTATTTGAAGCCAGTTTAAGGTCATATATGGAAAGTATTGCTGCTGTTAACACGGCGGCTAAGGAGACACACCGACTATTGTTTTGGTGTAAAACTGACTTTAATTTTGTCCAAACACTAACTTTTGAAATTCCTGTAACTTTTTCCATTTGTGAGTTCAACCATGATACTCGGCAAATTAATGCAACTTTGGATGAGCTTTAAAATGATATACGACACATACATGGAGACATTGGTATATGTCTGCCTAGGGGGCCCATAATTTCGGGACACTCTGTAGCATAAAGTCATCTTGGATTAGCTAGTAAAGATCTCTCAATGAACTCCTTAAGATTATTAAAATTCATAAAAGTGCAACTAAACATAACGTAACGTACCGACGTCGAGTGGTCAAAGAGGTCGGAAGAAAACACGCCATGGTCACATATTAATCACCATGTTAATACTTTCATAAAATAAAATAGCATTCAACGAAAAAATCACTTTTACCTGTTTATCTGTACTAGGGATACAGGAGCATGTTAGTTGAACATCACTTGTAACGCATAAAACCCTTAATGCATTTTGAAATTAAATCATTGCAATGTTTAATATTATAACTCATGTATTTCAATTACAGGGACAACATACACTGTGAGTTGACAACATACATTTCTGATTTTTTAAATTATATCAAATGCATGAATGTTTATTAAATGTTCACCTGTCCTAAACTGTGTAGTTTAGAGAAACACATTCTCATAAAAATATTCGACTCTCTGAGACGTCAGGGGAGAAAATTATCAAAGGAAATGTGTAAAAAAAACATTTTTCCAACCGAAGAATCGTATGGGTAGACTAACAACGAAAAAAATCGAACACTGCTCGAAGATCTTTTAACGTTATTAGAAAAATAAATGTCTTTGAAATCGAATGCACGCGAAATCAAACATAAAATCCTTTGTGTACTCCTAAAATTTATTTTTGAAAACCTGCATCAAACCTACATCATAGTCTTCGCTCAAAATCAGTTAATAGTGACATAGTATATCAAAAGTGTACAACGGCATATTTTGTCACTGTCACGTGACTGTACCTTGTCGATGGTTAGGCGTGCCATAGGTCATTTGGAAAACCTCTGGAGATTACGTAAATATCTGAGCAAAAACCGCCACATTGGAAATGGTAAGAAAAAACATTCACCAAACAATTACAAGTTTTGATCGGCAAAGAAGTACTCCACCGCTCCAATACGTGCACAGATTGATGCCACTGATGTAGGACACAGTTAAGATCAAAAGTAAGCTGCTGAAGCCATATATTTCAAAATATAACATGGCTCTCGAAGCATAGTGAACACCATCAATTCAGGAATTCGAAGTGAGTAAATTAGCCACATTTTATCTGATAAAACATCCCACAGACATAAGATTGCGGCTAAATAAAAGTAACCAGTAAAAGAAAAATTCCCTTCCAATACTATCGACCAGTAGGTATGAAGATAAAATAAGAACTGACAATTTATCCCGTACCAGGACTATAGTTCTGCGAACGTCTTATTCGTTTGCCTGTACGATTACAACATGGGAGAATTTTCTATGCTTCTTACACTTAAGATACCGATTTCAATAGATTCCTTGGTATTTTAGCATTCTTTTTGTGTAGTTGAATCCACAATTGTCTGGGTTTATCGGCAGAACAAAGAAATTTGTTTTTGATCGCAATATTTGCGTGTAATATTTAACTTATTTCAACCGTCAAATTCTTCCATTTATTGGTTATCCGGGCCACTTCCGGGTCAGTCAAACTGGGAATCCCCTTTTAAATCCAATCGCCATCTTGGAAAGTGATGGAATATCTCTCGATGAAAAAGAAAAATGTTCCCATTCTGCCGATATACCCAAACAATTGTGGATTCAACTACACGAAAAGAATGCTAAAATACCCAGGAATCTATTGAAGTAGGTATCTCAAGTGTAAGGGGCTTAGATAATTCTCCCAAGTTGTAATCGTACAGGTAAAAGAATGCGCTCGTTACAAGACTTTAGTCCTGGCACGGGATAACTGACAATGATCCTAAGAAATTCTCCATCTAAAATGTCACTCAACTTTTTTGTGATTATGAGTCAAAGAAAGCATTCTTGAGTTTCAAATTGACTTCTGTGGTAACTTGAAACCATCTTCTAATTTATTCCACTTACCTTTTATTGTTTCTCCAGATATATTCTTTGAAAATCGGATTTTAAGGGTGTTAATCAGGGTAATTCTGTGCCATTTTATCAAAAATCTTGTTGCTATCTAGAACTAGAAACGAGCAATTGTGATCTTGTTGTTACCTAGGAATGAGTAACTGTGATGTCACGTCACACTCATGTTAATTCTGGAATCACATGGCAGCCATTTTTGAAATTTCAAAAAAGTTCCCAATTAAAAAGGCTTTAAGGTACAGCTGGAAAGTAACATTTTGGTAAAAAAGTTGGATACCTGCACATGTTATTTTCTGGTACAAAATAAAGTATGAAGGCATGTGTCAATCTCCTTGCTTTTTTCAGGAAAGTATCATTACATTGTCTTCTTTTAGAATATCTGGTAGGAGTTCAATGAGAACTCCAGAAAATTCTGATATTTCACACTTTCTATTTTTCTGAATTTTCTTTCAAAGTTTCCAGACAACACAGGAGCTACCATTGGCCTGTTTCCAGGTTTACTAAAAGTAGACAGTGTAATGATACTTTCCTGAAAAAAGCAAGGAAATACACACATGCCTTCATACTTAATTTTGTACCAGAAAATAACATTTGCAGGTACACTGTATAGCAATTTTTTACCAAAATGTTACTTTCCAGCTGAACCTTAAGGTCTCATGGAAGTTAACAGGAAATGACAAAACAAAAAATGACAAAGCCATGCTGGATTTTGAAAATTTTTTGAACCAAGATAACAGAGTTCTCTTTGGACCTCCAGTCAGTTTAACTAGTTCCACATATCATTTACATGACCAGGAAAACAATTGAAATGGTCAGAATGACCATAAACATGATAGAATAACCTTTTCAGCCCTCTGAAAATGTGACTAAAAAATAGCTAAGAGTCGGTGCTCAGGAAAGGTCACTGAACAGAATCTTTTGAATTTTTCAGAAAATGTGCCCAATATATTGCTCTAAATGATACAATTTAAAAAAATTTGATATCATTCTTAGAAAAAGAAAAAAATGAAAAAAAACTGAATTGAAAATCGATCTATTTTCCTTTTTACTCCAGCCATTATTGTTTCAGACGATTTTTTAAAATTTCAAAGATTGTATCATTTAGAGCAATATATTGGGCACATTTTCTGAAAAAATCAAAAGATTCTGTTCAGTGACCTCTCCTGAGCACCGACTCTCAGCTATTTTTCAGTCACATTTTCAGAGGGCTAAAAAGGTTATTTTATCATGTTTATGGTCATTCTGACCATTTCAATTGTGTTCCCGGTCATGTAAATGATATGTGGAACTAGTTAAACTGACTGGAGGTCCAAAGAGAACTCTGTTGTCTTGGTTCAAAAATTTTTCAAAATCCAGCATGGCTTTATCATTTTTTGTTTTGTCATTTCCTGTTAACTTCCATGAGACCTTAATGCTGTTTACAAATTGGAAACTATGGCAGAATCAACAAAGGGTTTGTGAAATAATTAGGATATGGTTTCAAAATTATGCACATGACAATATATGACTACTAAATGTAGGCATGGACTTTTAATTGCCAAAAAGTCGAGTGACATTTTAGGTGGAGAAATTTTTAAATGAATAAATTTCTCAAAAAATAAACCCGGAAGTGAATATTTATGTTTATTTTATCTTTCTCTACCATCTCAAGACTCAGAAACAAGTTATACAAATGTTATATATTTTTTCGAGTATGATACCCATATTTTCGGGCTTACCTGATCTCCTGGACTATTCACATGCTCATAATATAGTGCAGAAAGTGTAGCCCCGCTCAAAAATATTTCCGCCATCTTAGTTTTTGAATGCTGGGTTACCAATCTCATAGTCTCATTTTTTCTAATTATTTTTGAATTTGTACATATTTTATGGAAATAAAAGAGTATTGAACTTTATGATAGTGTTTTCTTTGTATTTAATTGAAAAAAAATCATGCTATTTCAAGTCTCACATCTTATCACATGATCGATCTACCACACCTCCAACTTGTCCGCTTTCACAAGGTCACCGAGGGCAAATAATTTATTACAACACTGGAATAAACAAAAATTAGCAAACTCTTAGGCTTTTTTCACAGTTATGGGCAGCAATCGTGAAGTGGTGAGTACAAACTTTCAATTGATACCAAACTTGGTAAGGGGTCTTAGTGAAATATGTTATAAATTAGGTGTCTAAACTGTCGTACACCGTTTGTAACGCGCCACGTCTGAGTTCATTCATAATTTCATTGGCTCAATTCCCAAGGTCATTTTGAACGTGTGTTTGTTTTGTTTATTGAGTTGAACGAATATGCCCTTAGGTGTCATCATAAATCTTCATGCTCTCGCCGTTGAATGAATGCATTGGGAACAAGCAACCAGAACAAGTGGACTCGACCCAGCAGACAAGCGTTTCATAACTTATAGACTAGGGTAGACAGGCTAGACTTCAGAAGTCTCATAACTTCCAACAGTGTGGCTGTGTAAAGAAGTTGGACCACGTTTGTGATCTCGAAGTCAGATTTTACATTTCTTGAAGCATATCACTATCGTAAAATAAGAAAACATGAAGTGGCTCGATAAACAAGTTCTTGCGCCTGTAGCATTGGACGAAGCTCCAGTGGAACTTCCCACATTTGAGCACCCAAAACTCGAACCAGAAATGCCTCTCACAAGACTGAAGGTAACATTGCTTTCGCTTTCTTGTTCATGGTTTATTGAACGCTTGAATTCATTTGCTTAAATTGGATTGAGAGCTTCACTGGTTCTTTCTGGTCAGGACACTTTTCTGGTTGATTGAACACTGCATTATATTCGCATACAAGTCTTTTTGTCCAAAGCTTGTTTGTTGTTCTATAGAAAGGGCAGGGACCTAACTAAAACCTATAGCTTTTACCTACAAAGTAGTTATTTATGGGGTCTAATGCTTGTTTTAGGCCATTGGTATAACTTATTGTAGTGTTATTGGTGCAAGGCAATAAATGTACTAATTGATTCAATTGGCATCTTGGTGCCTTAGTGTATTTATAAATAAATTATTTACTTATTCATTTGATCTAAACAGTTTTCAAACTTTATACAATTAATATCTACTGTCCAGTGACCACAGTGTCCTGAAATAGCCGATATGTCTCCAATAAATTGATGAATTCTTCCCTAGATTTTGCTAGCCTTGATTGGTTGATATGAGTGCCACACCCCCAACTCAATTTTCAAATGCATGTTGCTAGAAACAATTCACAAAGAATATTGATTAAGCCATGCAGTTACGAGACATTCCTATATTTATGACACAGTATCTAAACATTACATGCATATCAAATGTAAGATCAAAAATCTTAGATTATCATCATTCAGTATCTTAGATTATCACTCAGTATCTTAGATTATCTCCAGACCAGTATTACCTAATGTTAGTAAATAAATCCAAGGACAAAAGATGCTATGATTGGAAGCAAGGTTATTTCAAGGATTTTCCAAGATTATAAGACAGCAAAGTATTTTTTCAAATATCTTCCACATTTCCTAAATGCAATTAATATTATAATCACAGATGTTACATTTTCTGATGTTGGAATTATTTATTCAGTTTCATGGACTCATTTACATTACTTATAATCAATATATATGATTGAGAGTAGATAATGTTGTTTACAATGTATTTGGTTAGTAGCAGCTGGTCCTACTAAAGTTCTCATATCCGGCCGTGTGATTTAAATTTCAAATAAGTATGATATTAAAGTTTTTGGGCTTTGAACTGATTTTCTATAACAGTTCAATTAATCAGGGGTTTCAATGAACAGCAGTCAAGCAGAGATTTTCTCTGTTTATTTTCTGCTATTTACCAAAACTGCCTGCTGTTTTGAGGAATTTCTCAGCTGTTTTTATCATTTCTAACAATATTGTCTTGTTTTGACTCACTTTGCTTTTTATTAGAAATTCGTTTTGAATCCCTCTGAACGTGTACAACTTTCTTCTGATTCGGATTACATGTTTATCCTTATACGTTTCACATCCTGGTTTCATTCATTATGAATGCATCTTTGTGTAGTTGTTATTATAGGCGAATCTTTTCCAGTTCTGAGAAACAAGTCACATTTCTAATAACTACAATTTTATCAGACATTTTTATGGTTTTAAGTTTAAAATGCTCTGTATATTGGTTTTGATGTTTTTTATGAAGACAACACAGATGTCATAGCAACTATAATGTGTTTATTTGGTCAGTTTAAAAGTTCAACATAGATAGGTAAACATTAAACAAGCTAGAATTTATTTTTACTTACAATATCAATGTACTGATTTTTATTAGCATTTAATCTTATATAATAGTCCAGCAGATAATTTTTATTTTATTACCAGGTTCATAAAGATATTTGAAATATTAATTGTCAAAGGCTATGATCAAGACATGGGAAGACAAGTAGTTCCCCCTCCCTTATATGATAAAAGTGAAACAATAAAAATACATCATGACATGTATTCAGTTTTGTCCTCCAAAACTTATTTGAACTGTCTCGAGAATCATAACATTACTTGTGACATCACAGATGCTACATGATCTGGCAATGTACCAACAACGTTATTGCTGTTTGATTTATCATTGATGACAATTACTGTTATGACTTCCGCTCGTCCCCATATCACCTCGATTACCAAGGTTTGCAACCAATTTTCTTAGAGATTCAACCTAAACATGTGAATCATCTCAGGAATTCTGGAAGTAATTGAAAAAAGCAGGATCCATTTATTTGTTGTTTATTTTTTATCGCCACATTAACCTATTGAAAAATTGATTAATGGTTTGTCTGGATTATGATGATGGTGAATATTATAATGTCCTTTATCCAGACTTGAGTTGTTTATGTGTATATTAGCCTACATTGATGAGAAGTCCCTAGCCACAAGGCATTGTCTGTCAAAGCTGTCTTATAAGTGAAACAACAACAATCCATCAATATATCTGAACTATAATAGAAAAGAGAACAACACTATAAGCAAAATACAATCAATCACTGGGCCTCGAGGAAGACTGGTTTTTGTACTTATAGAGCTACCTAGAATGAATATAGTTTTCAAATCAAATCAACAATTAATAAATGTTAAATGTATTTTCCACATTGTCACTAGTAAGAAGTGTTGATCAGATCAATGCTATATTATATGGCCGAAATATAATAAAATTCAGACTATTTTGGTAAGCTATTCTTTATATATATCCTTATGAAAAATATTCTTGTATTAATTTTTAATTGGTATTTAGGTGGGCAGAGTAGGTCAATTTCTGGAGCTGTCTCGGTTCAATATCCAAGCTTAGTCACTAAAATGCTCATTCCCATTCACCACCTTAAATCTGTTTGCTTTCTATTGATTTTCTTATGTTTATATCTATTTTATCTGAATGAAGAACATGTATTCATTGTAAGAGATATATTACATCAATTTAAGTATCTGCCTATGTTAATAGGAATTTTCTGATTGGTCGTCTGAGTATGTGGGTTGTTTCTAATTTATTTCATGTCTGGCTTTCTACATGACTCTCTACACATACTGCTACAGCTGCATCAAAATATTATACAACATGAAATATAGACTCGTCTGCTTGATTTATCACATAATTCGTTTGAAATAGATATTCATTAGAAATCAGATGAACTACTATACAATATTAAGCTCAATTATATATTATTCCCGAAAAACTGTTATGCCACTATTTTTGTGAGTCATGTTCGGTGTTCGGTGTTTGGCATTGCATGTTCTTAGTGTCTGAAGAAATTGTTACACCTATGTAATTACAGCTCTGTGGTGATATTTTCTGTCATTTTTTACAATCCCTTGTATTACTTGTGAAATATAACTTATCAGTTTTTAACCTGACACCAGAAAGGGTTGAAATGAACTCCAGTGAATAAAAGTATTCAAAGTATAATGTATACATTCAGATTTTTAATTATATGGTATATAGTATAGTAGTGTTGATTCTTGTCATGCCGGATCATTGCAAATTGATCTATGTACACTCGTGACTGAATCAATGTACAGTGAAACCTGTATATTCGAACACCTGGCTAATACAAACACCTTCCAATCTGAACACCTTTTTCCAGTCCCATTTTTCCTCCCATTGACATCCATGTTAAAAAACCTTGAAATCCTAACACCTCCTAATCCGAATTTGAAAAATCAACCTGTGTAATCTGAACGCTTTTCACAAAATATCAAATATTTCTTCAAAAATTGATCAATATAACACTGATTTGTTATGATATCAAAACTTTTGAAAAATACCAAATGGTCTCAATCATAATCATGGGTCTTTCTAGCATGACTAAATTCATTTGAATCAAATTTTGGAATGCCACAAAGCTATGTGGTCAATAAAAATATAAATATTAGATTTGCATTTATATTTCTTCAGAATATAAGATGCAAAAACCTTAAAATGCGAACACCTCCTAATCCAAACACTTTAGCCAGTCCCAATGGCGTTCAGATCAGACAGGTTTTACTGTATGAATGTAAAAAGTGTAAGGTTACTGTCCATAAATTCAGTCTACCAATGTTTCGCAATAATTGATTATCTTTATTCAGGAACATTCTGCACATGTAATCGATTGAACTCTAAACGTGTTACTGGGAGATCAATGCATCTGAAGAATATTCTGATATTCACAAAATATGGGGTGTGCTATAAAGATTAGTGCAAAATAGCTCAAATTGGTGTCTCCTCTATCTAATCTTCCAATTAAGCATCATTTCTACTTTTGCTAAGAAGTTTATAAAATTATTGCAGTTGTCATCAAGTATTTGGTTATTGATTTGATAAGTGTGTTCCACAATTTAACCTTATATATCTTGCTAGTTTATTGAGTTTACGTAGGTTCAATATTTCACTTTATTGCCCTTTGAAATGACGTTATTGTACCATTATTGTCATATAAACCCAATATGGCTTTTGAATTAACAACACTGTTTAATTTTTGGATATTATTTGAAGTACATAGTAGCCAGTAGAATTCACTCATTGAAAACATGACGAGCAAATGCAAAAATATCTCTTAAACTTGACTTAATGATACATTTATTGAAGACCGATTTTCAGCTGTCATTTTTGGTCTTACAGTAGTCTCGTGCATGTAGTAAGACATGTTTACACAAACACCTCTGTTTGGAGAACACCTTATATATGAACACTTTGTGTTTCTATGTTTTGAATTCGTACCATTGTCCTATTATAAAATTTTAATTAAAGTCTCGGTGAACATATCCTTGGGTGAACATTGGTATGAGGAACACTTTTCATTTGTTTTGTTCACTCTTAACAGGTTTTATTTAATCTTAAATTTACATTTATATTAAGCAGTTAATCTGGTTTATTATTATTACATGACCTTGAAAATACTTAGATCTGTTATTCATTTAGGTCTTAAAATCCTTTATGATATAATAATATAAATAAGTTCATCCATTTTGTAGACCAAAGCAATTGGCAATGAATGTAAACGTGTTTAGCTGACACGTGTTGGATAAAGATAAAGTACTGTTGTATTTTTAGGTTGCACGCATTGAGCACGTGTATCCAGTCTTTGAATATGGGTGCATATGAAAAATGAATGAATTGTTATCTAGCATGTTGTTTTTTATATTATCATAATGATGGCCATACATGCACTTGTACTCCAT